CCTTTAGCATTGTATGGCATTTTTACTCTGGCAGAATGGGTCCCATATAGGATTTTTGATACCTACTAAGGGTCCATGTTGGTACCCCCCCCCCCCCTCCCCCCCTAATTTTTAAAAATATTTCATTTAGAGGTAATTTAATTGTTTAAAATATGTATTTGAATATACTGTGAAAATAAATTAATATAAAAGTAAAATAATTTTTTTAAAAAGCAATATAAATATTTATTAAAATATTATTTCTAAAAAAATGGTTTTTTAAATGTTGATTATTATTTGTTTGTTTGTTTATTTTTGGTTAATAAAATTGTTTGTTTATTTTTGGTTAATAAAATTGTTTGTTTAATAGTTGATTAATTTAATTTAGTTTAGTTTAGTTTTAGTTTTAATGTAATTGTTATTATGTATGTTTGTTTTAAATGGTTCTTCAACAAATTATTTCACTTTGGCATAGAGAACCAATCTCATCTAAAGATCCTACATGCTTTTGAACATGTATTTTTAGCTTAGGGATTCTGTAAATGAAAGCAAATTCAGAGAATTTATAAATGTAATCCTAAAGATTTTGATAAAGAAAATTGTTTCCATATTTTTATCTATTAGATTAAAGGCACATGGATGCTTAGCAAATGTAATTTTGCATATAATTTTGAATTTCTTCTATTTTGTGATAATATTAAGATTTGAGATTGCAATAATTATAAGTATCAAGAAGGATAGAGGTTTATGTATTTTAATTTTCAATACTTTCTACAACGATCACTAAACTGTTGTCTATTCTAAATGTAATATTTTTCTTATATTGTTATAAACTTCTGTAAAAGTTTTTATTTGTTTAGAATAAAATGGTTTCTAAACTATTGAAAATGCCAAAAAATTGTTGTATTTAATCTAATTTGAAATCTTTATTCACACCGTTAACACCGCACATTTATTTAAATATTTTTTTGATGATTTGTTATTTGTTAGATATTTATTTATTGATTTTTTAATTAATTTATTATTATTTGGTTTCTAAATAATTATATGATTAAACCTTTAATGCGTTTCTAATAACTAACTAATTAATGTATTTTATTTGCGTAAGAATCAATCTATTTTAAATAAAATAGACGTTATTATTAAAATCTTTAGAAAATAAAATAGCTTTAAAATATATTTTTGATTAACTATCAATTATCAATGAAATACTTTAAAAAATATAAATTAACAAATTTAAAATAAAATACTAATTTGATAATAAGAAAATTAAAATATAAATTTTGAAAGTATAAATCTTTATTCACTAAAATATAGATAATTATTTTGTATAAAAATTATTGTATTTTATTTACACCAACACCAAACTGTATTGTATTCACACCTAAAAATTTAGTGTGATGTGCCCAAAATTTAATTTTACTTTTAAAAATTAAATTTAGTGAAAGTTTTTTAAATGTATCCTGATATATTGATAAAAACAATTTTTTAAAAAATCATTCTAAAATTAACTCAAATTATCAAAATAGATTTTAAGAAGTGAATTTTTCAAACCAACAAAGAAAATTGCGTTAAATTCAGCAAAAGATGATTAAATTTATGAAATAATTGAATATAAATATCTATAAAAAAATATAATTTTTCAAATTTTACAATACAATGATAGTATATTTCAATTATCTCAAAAATCAATAATCAGCATTTTAAAAAGGAGATAAAGTTATTTAAAAAACAAATTTAATAAATAAAAACTACATTGATCATGGCATGAAAACAATTTTTTAAAGTATTTAAAAAATAATCAATAAAAATGATTTCAATTTGGTTAATTCATGTTAAGATTCACTTAGTTACATTAATTTGAATAGTCTTTCTACTGCTTCAATAAATGAATTAACTACTTTTTTTATCAACTCCAAATCTTATTCATTATTTTTTAAAAAATCTATTTCCTAAATCACTAAATCTCTTTCAAGTTATGATTTTTTTTCATTTTATTATTTGCATTATTTTATTAAATTGTTGATTTAATTAATGTCTTTATTATCTTATTAGTCAAGTTCTTCAATCTATTCTTCTAAAGTACTAATTTTGAGTATTAAATCTTCTTTTTTATTTTATAAGTTTTATATTTAATTTCTGTTTAATAGATCTTTGCAAATTGAAGTTATTATTTTTTTTTTAATCACTTATTTTTACTCTCTCTTTTTCTCACTAATAAACTAAAATATTTCGCCATAATAGTACTCAATTTAACTTATGATTTTTTAAAAAAAGCTATCTTTCCCAGAAATTTAACACTCCTTTATTATCTATTAATCATAGATTGCTAATATTCTTATTTTTGAATTATATTTATCTAATTCACTTATTTTATTATCTATTTTTTAACACCACTAAAATAATTTGCTTTTATAACAGTGTTAATTAGAAGGTTCAATTATGTTAATTAAAGGAAATAATTCTAAAATTTTGATGGTCTCTCTATTTATACAAATGAAATGATTTATAAGCTGGATATAGCTCGAGTACATATCATAAACAAGTCTACAAAACCTATTCAGAATATCTTTGCTTTATTCTATTTTACGCCACTCAATTTAAGAATCGATATCTCGTAATATTTCATCAAACTTTTCATATTTATAATTAATTAATTTCCTCTCATCAAAAAGATTCTTTTTTCTTTGTAAATCTAATTGATTAATCTCCTACTTTATTTACAAATACTTATCAAATTCTAATTTAAATTATTAAATCTTTTAATTGTTTGAGTTATTCTACATTTCATTTAATACATCTTAAATATCCCTTTTTTAATATCTTAACTAGTTTTCTATTTCAGTTAGTTAATTATTTGTTTCTTGAATATTTTAGCTAGAATATATTTTATTTTTACTTAGACTTCTACAACTTTATTATTTAATTATTTAAGCTGTAAATTTTTTCAAAATTTCTGAAATATTAAATATTTAATATTTGTATTCATTATTAATAAATTAACACATATGGTTTTCTTATTTTTTTAATAGAGTATATTTTACAATAAGTAGTTAATCTAATTGTAATTCATTATAAATGCTATAGCCAGGATGATGCTTATTTATTTCGTTTAATTTTTATTGAAACTCATCCAATTTATATCCTTTAAATGTTGCATCTAACTATTTTTCCAGCTTCTCAAGATTTTCATCATACTTATTCAACTCTTTTACTAGATTTGTAATCTATTAAAAATCAAATTCACAAGGTGAATTTTAATACAAATCCATTAAGCAGATGACTTTAAAAGTACTTTAATATTGCAAATTATTGTAATAAACTATCTAATTGATTATATTTATTAAAAAATGATATTACAAAAATAAATTTATTCCAATTTAATTATCATAATGTGTTGATCTTGATTGATACTTTATTAACTCTACTTAATCTAAATTAAAACAAAAATTCCTAAATTACCATTTGTAAAGTTTTTTAATTCTGATTTAAGAATTGGTAGTAGCTATCGAAGCACATTTGAATCTATTTTATGGCACAGATTTTTTTAGAATCCTCATTTTTCAGATCTATTTAACTAAAAAAATGGATTGAGTCTTCTATTTTATTTTTTTATTCTTTAAAAACATCATTTAATTTCTAAAATTTTTCAATATCCTTTAATGTATGTTCGCAAATATAACTGTTAGCAAGATGCTAATCAAAATCTGTTTTCTAAGAAAGAGCTCCATTAGTTTACATAGCTGCTAGATATTAATTATTCTTTTTTGTGTAAAGATTAGAGTTGATTAATTGATCTTTCTTTTTATTTTACTTATTTAATTCAAATTAATATTCTAATATCAAACCAGATAACATTAAATGTTTGACAAAAATATCTAAAAAAAAAGTATTTTATTTTTATTTTAAGATTAAATTTTTAAAAAATATATTTTATTAAATTTATTTTAATCTAATTCATTTTTAAGCTTAATCATATTTGATTTCTCAAATTCTTAATGTATTACTTCTAATATGAATTTCATAAATAAATAACTAGGGTAATTTAACAAAAATAAAAGATTATTTAAATTAAATTAAATTTATAATTTTTATAAAAAGGCTTTTAATAGAAATGTAAAGTATATATAAAATGAATGAATGAATAAAATTATATTTATGTTTAATTTGATTGCTAAAATAGTATTGATGAAAAGAAAAAAATTAATATTATTTGTTTAAAAAGAAGGATTGAAAATTAATAAAAAAATATAAAGCACATTTAGGTCTTTAAAATTACTAAGAAAAGAACAAATGAAATTTAATTATAATATCATGAAATCCGAGATAGTATAGTGGTTAGTATTCCTGCCTGTCACGCAGGAGACCCGGGTTCAATTCCCGGTCTCGGAGCTTTTTTTATTTGATTAATTTTGTTTATTTAATTAGTAAGATCATTTCATTTGAATAAAAATTTCAATAAAGAATTACAAATAAAATATTTAGTTGATTTTTCATTCTCTTAGTCAAAAATCTAAAAGACAAAATAGTATTCTTTAAGTAAATCAGCTATTTTATTCACAAAATTGTTGTAATATCTTAAATTTGTTTATATGTAGCTAACATTTATTTTATTAATTGCAACTACTATTTCGCTAACCAAAGTTGTTATTACTTCTTCAATTAATTTAATATCTTTATTATGTGCCTTTTTAAAAGACTTTTAAGATTAGATTAACTATTTTTTTAATTATTTTTCTTATTGTAGCAAAGATTTAAGATCTAATATTTCATATTTTTGAATTTTAGCCTTTTATATTTCTTTTTAATTCAATTTTAGTAATTATTTAAGTTTTTCAGACTCATAGTCTTTTTAAATGATATCTTCAACATGCTCTAAAATGTATTATTTTCTTTGCTTCTTTTCCAAAGAAATTAAAAATAAAATATCTTAAATAGAAACTTTTTATATTATTTTATTAAAAAGTCCTAAATTAAGATTGCATTCAAAAAAAAGTTTCTTATTACTTTTCTGTATAATTTTTTATTACAGTTCATATTTATCTGTAAAATTTGTTTGATTTGAATCTAGTATTATTTAATTTAATTTTACTAATATTAGCTCATTGTTTATGTCTTAAAAGCTCAATATTCGGTTTATTTCTTAAATATTTAGAATGCAAATATTATTCAAATTAAAAAGTATTAAAAGTACATCTGAGTAATTTTGAATAATATTTCTTAGATTATCATCAATAAAACTAATCTTTTTATTTTAATCGTTTTCCTAATCTAATCTGCAAAAGTTAAAACTTTTAATACTTTATAAAACTTATTAAATAATATTTAAATTTTTTTCTGTCAATTCAATTTTATCTTTTAATTATTTATTTTTTTTAATAAAATTAATTTCTTTTTAATATTTTTCTTAAAGATTATTTTTATCATCATCATCACCATTATCATTATCATCATCATCATCATTCATTATATTATATCCTTTTTTTAATTTGTTAGTCATTTTTTAATCATCTTACAAGTCTAATTATATTTATTCTTTTTTCTAACTTTTTTTTTGTTTTTTGATATCTTTTAACTATTAAACATTTATATCCTCAAAATTAGATAATGATTTTATATATTGTGTGAAATTCTCATGATAATCTTTTAATGAAATTTGTTATTAATTCAATTGCAATTAAGTTATTAATAGATTTATCTTTTCATTTTAGCTTTTTAATTCTTAAATCATTTTTTCAAAGTCTTCCACATTCAATTCAGGCTTTGAAGAATTACAAATTTTTGCTAAATAAACTATCATTTTCTGGTGAATCTGAATGAATTCTTTGATAAGTATCAAAACCTTTAATTTATTTCATGTAATTACATTTTAAATAAGCTAAAAATTTCTTTAAAATGTTTGATTTTTAATGAAAATATTTCTATTCTTATTTTATTGTCTTAATCATGTCTTTATTGATTAACTTCTACAAATGAAATATTAGCAATTAAGATATTTATTTACCTATGAACTATTGAGGGATTTTCTTGAATTAGACTGTAAATCTTAAATATTTTATAGCAATCCTTTGAAAATAGTGCTTAATTATGGAGTTTCATCTAATTTTAACTCTGAATTGCTCAGAATATCAATTAAATTTTTGGCTCTATTATAATCTAATAAAGATTTTTCGTAGCTACGGTGCGTCTTTTTCATCACTTATTCAAATTATAACTAAAATATTTGATACTTTTCATCTTCTTATTGATCATCTTCTAGTCTATACAGTAAGACATTTTGTTTTTAAAATATTTTTTTTAAAAAAGAAATAATTCCAGAAAGCATCTAAATTCTTTAGTGAATCTTATATCAACTTCTTTAAGATAAAAAAATACTTTTTTTTTATAAATTATCTTTAAATCTATTGATTTTTTTGCATTAATAAATAATAATTATTGATTAATTCCACTTTGATATATGTGAAATATTCTAATAACTTATTGTATTCCAGATTAAACAAAATCAAAATAAAATGGATTTGCAATTAATTTAAAATTTTCTTTTAAAAATATTTATTACTTTAAATAATAAGTAAGAAAAACTATTAGAAAAATAATTTAATTTTTCAAAAATATTATTTGATAAATAAATTTTATGATATCACTATTGCAATTACCATACATATATCCTCTAAACTTTTATCTAATAAAAATAAAGAAAAGCATACCAATACATGAAAAATATATTTATTTGTTTTTAATGAACAAAAAAATGTTTCATTATTAAATATTTCATTAAAGTTTTTTTTCAAATAATAATTTACTATTTTCTAAATATTTAAATACCGTAATTCCTCATTAATTAAGGCAACCTTTAAATAAGGCTATTTTATGATTGACTTAGTGTTTGATTAAACATTTTTTAGTTATTTTTTTTTTTTATCTGGTTTGAAACCTTCTCCAAAACCTTTTTTTATTTCTTTTAAATTTTTTTATTTATATTTTTTCATATTTATGCCCTTATTAGTTTACATTTCTTACTCAAGAAATAATTATTTGATAATAGCAATAAGTTAATATCGCCATTCACTTAGCATAGAAGTAAATAAGATGATTGAGTTAATTATTTATTTAACTTGAATAAATTATTCTTAAATTTGAATGCAATTATTTAATTATTTTATAAAAGAAGGACTATATTAAAAAAATGTAATTGGACTTATTAAAGAACTGAATTTTGAAGGAATTTATCTAATTTCTAGATTTTTTATAGCTTAAAAAATATTTTAAAATGTTCTTCATGTAATTTAAAGTGTGTATTTTCTTATTTAGTTATACATTTAACTTAACCCTATTATATTCACTTAATTTGTTATCAATAGCTCCTCGTTCTGCTCATTTAAATACATTCAAAGGTACTATTAATAAGAATTAACAATCAGTCTATTACTAATTTTTTAATTCCAAAATTAAAATATTTAAAATTAGAATTTATAAAATATAATAAAATATCTTTATTTGTTATTTTATTAAGTATAAAAAAATCTAAGATAAGAATGAATGAAGAAATTAGTCAATTCTACAAAAATTGAGTACAAAATCAGATATTTAATATAAATTCACAAAATCATTAATAAAAATAATGAGATAATTTTTCCAATTATTAATTAGTTTAATGAAATTAAGGCTTTCAACACACCAAATCTTATCAAAAAATTAATGATATTGCCATTAATACAGAAATAATTAAAATATTAGCATTAGCTGTACATGATTATTTGTCAGAGCTTGCAACAGAAAATTTAGGACCAACACAAGCAAGGCAGTCAGCATCAGTCCAAGAATTAGCTGGTCTTGATGAATGGCAAGTAGCAGAAGAAGCAACACAAGCTGTATTAGCACCATTTGAAAATATTGCTGAGACTGATCCATTTGGAGTACCAGGACAAGATTAGCAGTAGAGATCTACAATTCCAGTAAGTTTAGCAGCATCAGCAGCATTAGGACAGTTGTTGACAGCACATTTGTTATTATTTGAACCTGTTACCCAACTTAAATTACCTGGCAATTGAGGACATTTATCAGAACATGAAGTACCAGATCCTGTACAAACAACATCATTACCTTAAGCAGCAAAGATAAAGCCTACTAAAAGTAAAGCGACGCTTAATTTCAAAATATTCATCTTTTAAGGTAATTTTTTTCTTTTTTTCTTTTGATTAGTGTGAGAGTTGTATTATTATTATTATTGTTATTGTTATTTAATTTATATAAAAAATATTAAATAAGATCATCATGCATTTAAAATAATAAATAATGTTAAGATAGGTGAGAATTTAATAGTACTATGCATTCATAAAATAGACAATAAGATTAAAAAAATAATTTGAAATTAAAATTATGTAGAAAGTGATTTAATTAATTCTGACAAAGTGTTTGATTTTAAATTTGATTAATAAAATAATAAAAACAATAATTAATTTTACTATTAGTTTATTTCCTCACTTAAAAATGTAAATTAATTTTTAAATTTCTCAAAGTAAATTTATTGAATTACTAAAAATTAAATTTTTGACTAGTTATAATTTATTGAAACTAAATATGAAAACTTTATCAAGAAAAATAAACTTTTAAGTATTTTAAAATTATAATTAATAAAGATATGCATAACTATATAAATTTAGATTTACTTTTTATTTAAATTTAATGATAAACAAATTTTTATAATTAAAAAATGATGATTATAGAAGGCATTTGCATAATTTTTAATTCCTTAAAAAAAATTTAAATTATAAATAAAATAGATTATTTAAATCAATTATTTATTTATTTATTACAGTTTTTTGAATAAAAAATTAGTTACATTATTTTTAAGTTTATATTTTTAATTTTGATTTTAATTTTCTTTATTTTTATATTAGTTTTACATTTTTTAATGTTTGTTTGTCTTTTGATTATCAATTATTTAAAAAGCATACAATATACTAACTAAATGTTAGTTTGATACAAATTTAAAACATCCCTAATTACAAATTAAAGTTATCAATAGTTCCTCATTCTGCTCATATAAAAAATTGAAAGGTGCTATTAATATGAATGTACAGTGTATTATTTTTTTATTTTTACATTCTAAAATTAAACTTACGAAGTTTATAAAATTAGAAATTCCAATAAAATAAAATAAGTTTATTTGTTACTTAATTAACTATAAAATATATTTAAGAATAAAGAAATTAATCAATTCAATAAAAATTCAGTACATTATAGGTAATTCAATATAAATTCACAACATCATTAATAAAAATAATGAATTAATTTTCCCAATTATTATTTAGTTTAATAAAATTAAGGTTTTCAACACACCAAATCTTATCAAAAAATTAATGAAATTGCTATTAATACAGAAATAATTAAAATATTAGCATTAGCTGTACATGATTATTTGTCAGAGCTTGCAACAGAAAATTTAGGACCAACACAAGCAAGGCAGTCAGCATCAGTCCAAGAATTAGCTGGTCTTGATGAATGGCAAGTAGCAGAAGAAGCAACACAAGCTGTATTAGCACCATTTGAAAAGATTGCTGAGACTGATCCATTTGGAGTACCAGGACAAGATTAGCAGTAGAGATCTACAATTCCAGTAAATTTAGCAGCATCAGCAGCATTAGGACAATTGTTGACAGCACATTTGTTATTATTTGAACCTGTTACCCAACTCAAATTACCTGGCAATTGAGGACATTTATCAGAACATGAAGTACCAGATCCTGTACAAACAACATCATTACCTTAAGCAGCAAAGATAAAGCCTACTAAAAGTAAAGAGACGCTTAATTTCAAAATATTCATCTTTTAAGGCAATTTTTTTCTTTTTTTCTATTGATTAGTGTGAGAGTTGTATTATTATTGTTATTGTTATTTAATTTATATAAAAAATATTAAATAAGATTATCATATATTTAAAATAATAAATACTGTTAAGATAGATAAGAATTTAATTGTACTAGGCATTCATAAAATATAAAATAGACAATAAGATTAAAAAAATAATTTGAAATTAAAATAATATGTAGAAAGTGATTTAATTAATTCTGACAAAGTGTTTGATTTTAAATTTGATTAATAAAATAATAAAAACAATAATTAATTTTACTATTAGTTTATTTCCTCACTTAAAAATGTAAATTAATTTTTAAATTTCTCAAAGTAAATTTATTGAATTACTAAAAATTAAATTTTTTACTAGTTATAATTTATTGAAACTAAATATGAAAACTTAATCAAGAAAAATAAACTTTTAAGTATTTTAAAATTATAATAAATAAAGATATGCATAACTATATAAATTTACATTTACTTTTTATTTAAATTTAATGATAAACAAATTTTTATGATTAAAAAATGATGATTATAGAAGGCATTTGCATAATTTTTAATTCCTTAAAAAAAATTTAAATTAGAAATAAAATAGATTATTTAAATCAATTATTTTTATTTATTACAGTTTTTTGAATAAAAAATTAGTTACATTAAGTTTATATTTTTAATTTTGATTTTAATTATCTTTATTTTTATATTAGTTTTACATTTTGTAATGTTTGTTTGTCTTTTGATTATAAATTATTTAAAAAGCATACAATATTCTAACTAAATGTTTGTTTGATACAAATTTAAAATATCCCTAATTACAAATTAAAGATAAAAATTTAGAATTTCAAAAAAATTTTTTCTTAAAATATATTATCAATAGTTCCTCATTCTGCTCATATAAAAAATTGAAAGGTGATATTAATATGAATGTACAGTGTATTATTTATTTATATATTCCAAAATAAAACTTACGAAGTTTTTAAAATTAGAAATTCCAATAAAATAAAATATGTTTAATTGTTACTTAATTAACTATAAAATATATTTAAGAATAAAGAAATTAATCAATTCAATAAAAATTCAGTACATTATAGGTAATTCAATATAAATTCACAACATCATTAATAAAAATAATAAGATAACTTTTCCAATTATTAATTAGTTTAATGAAATTAAGGTTTTCAACACACCAAATCTTATCAAAAAATTAATGATATTGCCATTAATACAGAAATAATTAAAATATTAGCATTAGCTGTACATGATTATTTGTCAGAGCTTGCAACAGAAAATTTAGGACCAATACAAGCAAGGCAGTCAGCATCAGTCCAAGAATTAGCTGGTCTTGATGAATGGCAAGAAGCAGAAGAAGCAACACAAGCTGTATTACCACTATTTGCAAAGATTGCTGAGACTGATCCATTTGGAGTACCAGGACAAGATTAACAGTAGAGATCTACAATTCCAGTAAGTTTAGCAGCATCAGCAGCATTAGGACAGTTGTTGACAGCACATTTGTTATTATTTGAACCTGTTACCCAACTTAAATTACCTGGCAATTGAGGACATTTATCAGAACATGAAGTACCAGATCCTGTACAAACAACATCATTACCTTAAGCAGCAAAGATAAAGCCTACTAAAAGTAAAGCGATACTTAATTTCAAAATATTCATCTTTTAAAGCAATTTTTTTCTTTTTTTCTATTGATTAGTGTGAGAGTTGTATTATTATTGTTATTGTTATTTAATTTATATAAAAAACTTTAAATTAGTTCATCATGTATTTAAAATCATAAAAACTGTTAAGATAGGTGAAAATTTAATAGTATTAATTAAGCATTCATAAAATAGACAATAAGATTAAAAAAATAATTTAAAATTAAAATTTTGTAAAAAGTGATTTAATTAATTCTGATAAAGTGTTTGAGTTTAAATTTGATTTATAGTTTAAACAAAAACAATAATTAATTTTATTATTGATTTATATCCTCACTAAAAATTGTAAATTAAAATTTTGAATTTTTACTAGTAATAATTTATTGAAATTAAATAAGAAAATTTTATCAAGAGAAATAAGCTTTTAAGTTTTTTAAAGGTATAATAAGTAAATATAATTATACAAATTTTACAATGAATTTTTTAATTTAATGATTAATATTTTTTTATAATTAAAAATTGATTATTAAAACATTTGTATGATTTAAGTTGATTTTTAATTACTAAAAGAGAATAAATATCTAAATTTTAAATATAATAAATATATTATATTAACCAATTATGTATAAACAAATTTGTTACATTATTTAAAAATTTTTAAATTAATTTTATTTAGTTAGATTTATTTATTTATTTTTATATTAGTTATACATTTGGTAAGGTTTGTTTTATTTTAGATCAATTATTTAAAAAAATAATATATAGTATACAAATATGAAAAATTAAAAAATGGCTCTCTCTGTTTCATTTGACAATATTTTTTTTTCTTATATTTTTTAAAATTATTATTTTATCTTTTCTAAAAAATAATAAAAAATTTCTGCCAATTTTCTTCATAAATTTATAAAAAAGTTATGAAACTTAACATAAATAATAATAGATTTTAACTTTTAAAAACTTTATTTACTAATAAGTAAATATTAATGAACTTAAAAAAATTATTGGTTAAAAAAATCATAATTCTTTTTTTGAATTCAATAACTCGTGTAAATGTACGGCAAGTGCAAATTTATTTTTAATGTTTTACTTTTTAGTAAGTCTTATTTATCTTTATTCATAATTTTCATTTTCTATTTTATTTTCAGTTTTTATAGCATTTTTCATACACCCAAATTAAGAAAAATCATAATCATATGTTATTTTAATATACTTAAAGTCAGACTTGTATTCTACCTTTATCCACCATCCATTGGTTGATTAAATTTTTTTTAATGCTTCCTCTATTTCAGTATAATTTTGGCTTTATATAGTTTACAAATCTATTCCTTTTGTTATTATTATTAATTCATATTTTCTCTTCATCACAAATTAAATTTTTTCTATTTAAATTTTCATAGAGCTTAATTCTTGCTTTTCAAAAGTTATGAATTTTTATAAAAGGGATTAATAACTATTAGAATTATCTTAAGAATATATAATATTTTAGACTAAATATTTTAAATAACTATTTTTTTGCTACAAAAGTGACTAATTTTAGTTTGTAATTTCTATTATTTGTTTTTAAAAAATGGCTACTTAATTTTAATACTAATTTGTATTTTATTGAATAAATTCATCTCTTTATTTATTTTAATCTACTATTTGGTCCAAATTTTCTGTTACAGATCTTAATTTTGACTCTAACTATTAAATAGTTTCTTCTTTTTAATTTTATTTAATTATTAACATTTCTATTTATGATTGATTATATTACTAAATACTTTTTTACTCATTATATTTATTAATAAGATCTTAAATATCAGTGATTTATTCTTTTTTAAATAGATTATCAAACTGAAAGTGAATATTTTTGCATATTATATTTAGTTAGTCTAAATTTTATGGTTTTTAATTTAGATATAAGTTGATCTCATTCTAGATTAATTCAGAATTAGACTAGCTTTTATTCATTTAACCCAACAAAAATGATTATATGAAGTTGCGATCTATTTCTTGACTTTAGAATAATTACTTGAATTATGTAATTTAGCTAATTTCATTCCATTTTGATATTACTTAATCTCCATTCGTACGCTCATACTCGTTTATGAAAGTCTTTTTATATTCTCTAAATCTTTCAATAACTTATTTTTCAAGTTGTTCCATTTAAAAGATGAAATCAGATAGAATACTTTGCTATTATTATTTATCTTTTATTTCCTAGACCTATTTAAATAGCGATTAATCATTTAGAAGCGGCCAATTATCAATTATTTCATTATTTTGCTGCTATAGTAAATCTTCTAAGTACAAAAATGGTCTTTGGGATTAATCGTTGCATAAACACTTCAAGCATTCAAACTAAATGACTCCGCTTTAATCATATTTCAAAACTAAAGCCTATTTGCTTGCATGGTTATCACAGAAAATAAAATCCTTTTTTAATTAGTTCATTTTCGCTTCTATTTATTTTGATTTAAAATATGATAATATTTTCCTAATAATTAATATTTGTTTTGAACACCTGCTGTTGTAAATTTGCTTCTTTAATATAAGATTAAATAATAATTAGATATTAGAATATTTGACAATACTAAACATAAATCCCCTTTGTATTAATAAAAACTTCAATTTATTATTAAAGAAAATTTATCTAATAACAAACAGTTAATTGGATTTTATTTTCATTCATTTTTCTGAAAATATAATTTACATAATTAGAAATACTTTCATTTGCAGGTTTAAATATCCTGATTTTTAAGACAATATATATTGCAATAATTTAAATGTTTTAATTTTGTGAAATGAAATGTGAAAGAAAAGTTTTTAATTGGATGATTATTTAAAAGCACATATACAACCATTCCTTGTGAAAATTTAATTTATAAATGACTAAATGGTAGTTTTGGTATTTTTTTTTCTTTTTTAAATCAGAATACAGATATTTACTTAAAAATCAAGTAGAGTATTTTAATTTTTGCTAAAAATTCTTAAAATTTAACAATAGTTCCTTATTCTGCTCATATAAAAATTGAAAGGTGATATTAATATGAATGTACAGTGTATTATTTATTTATTTATTTATTTATTTATTTATTTATTTATTTATTTATATATATATTCCAAAATAAAATTTACGAAGTTTTTAAAATTAGAAATTCCAATAAAATAAAATATGTTTATTTGTTACTTAATTAACTATAAAATATATTTAAGAATAAAGAAATTAATCAATTCAATAAAAATTCAGTACATTATAGGTAATTCAATATAAATTCACAACATCATTAATAAAAATAATGAACTAATTTTCCCAATTATTATTTAGTTTAATGAAATTAAGGTTTTCAACACACCAAATCTTATCAAAAAATTAATGATATTGCCATTAATACAGAAATAATTAAAATATTAGCATTAGCTGTACATGATTATTTGTCAGAGCTTGCAACAGAAAATTTAGGACCAATACAAGCAAGGCAGTCAGCATCAGTCCAAGAATTAGCTGGTCTTGATGAATGGCAAGAAGCAGAAGAAGCAACACAAGCTGTATTACCACTATTTGCAAAGATTGCTGAGATTGATCCATTTGGAGTACCAGGACAAGATTAGCAGTAGAGATCTACAATTCCAGTAAGTTTAGCAGCATCAGCAGCATTAGGACAGTTGTTGACAGCACATTTGTTATTATTTGAACCTGTTACCCAACTTAAATTACCTGGCAATTGAGGACATTTATCAGAACATGAAGTACCAGATCCTGTACAAACAACATCATTACCTTAAGCAGCAAAGATAAAGCCTACTAAAAGTAAAGCGACGCTTAATTTCAAAATATTCATCTTTTAAAGCAATTTTTTTATTTTTTTCTATTGATTTGTGTGAGAGTTGTATTATTATTGTTATTGTTATTTAATTTATATAAAAAACTTTAAATTAGTTCATCATGTATTTAAAATAATAAAAACTGTTAAGATAGGTGAAAATTTAATAGTATTAATTAAGCATTCATAAAATAGACAATAAGATTAAAAAAATAATTTAAAATTAAAATTTTGTAAAAAGTGATTTAATTAATTCTGATAAAGTGTTTGAGTTTAAATTTGATTTATAGTTTAAACAAAAACAATAATTAATTTTATTATTGATTTATCTCCTCACTAAAAATTGTAAATTAAAATTTTGAATTTTTACTAGTAATAATTTATTGAAATTAAATAAGAAAATTTTATCAAGAAAAATAAGCTTTTAAGTTTTTTAAAAGTATAATAAGTAAATATAATTATACAAATTTTACAATGAATTTTTAAATTTAATGATTAATATTTTTTTATAATTAAAAATTGTTTATTAAAGCATTTGTACTATTTAAGTTGATTTTTAATTACTAAAAGAATAAATATCTAAATTTTAAATATAATAAATATATTATATCAACCAATTATATTAAAAAATTTGTTACATTATTTAAAGTTTTTTAAATTAATTTTATTTATTTTTATATTAGTTATACATTTGGTAAGGTTTGTTTTATTTTAGATCAATTATTTAAAAAAATAATATACCCTATATTCTCGTTAATTAAGGACTTTTTTGAGTAGTATTTAAAAAATGTTTATATATATTATAGAATTATTATATAATTTTTTCTAAAAGCTAAATAAATAATCTTTAAGAATTTTTACCTTAATTTAAGACTAAATAAAAATATAAAAAGTTTAAAAATTAAACATTAAAAAAGAATAACTTAAAATAAAATATTGGTTAAAAAACTCATAATTCTTAATTTGAATTCAATAACTAAATTAATTGCATAGCATTTGTTAATTTATTTTGAATGACTTAATTTTTAGAACGCCTTATTTATTTTTGTTGATAACTTTCATTATTAATTTTATCATCAGTTTGCATAACATATTCACTTTTTCCAAATTTAGAAAAATCATTGTGAAATGATATTTAAATAAATTTTAAGCTTTCCTTGTATTATATAAATATCCACCATCCATTGGTTTATTTAATTTTTTGAAAGGCTCTCTCTATTTCATAATAATCATTGCTTTATATATTTGATAAATCTATTCCTTTTGTTATTATAATTTGTTTTTATTATAAAAATTACTAATAAAATCTTTATCTTATTTCAATAGATTTTAAATCTTTTTTTTCAAAATTTATGAATTTTTCTAAAAAAGATTTATGATCATTAGATTAATTTTAAGAGTATAAAATATTTTAGATTAAAAATCTTAAATAACCATTTTTTTGTTCCAAAAGTGACTAATTTGAAATTTCTATTATTTGTTTTTAAAAAATTGATATTTAATTTTCATACTAATTTGTATTTTGTTCAATAAATTCCTCTTTTTATTTAATTTACTCTACTTTTTGGTCCAAATTTTCTGTTAGAGATGTTAATTTTTACTCTAACTATTAAATAGTCTCTTTTTTTTAATTTTATTGAGTTATTAATATTTCTATTTATGATTGATTAGATTACTGAATATTTTTTTACTCATTATATTTGTTAATAAGATCTTAAATATCAGTGATTTATTCATTTTTAAATAGATTATTAAACTGAAAGTGAATATTTTTGCATAGTATATTTAGTTAGTCTAAATTTTGTGGTTTTTAATTTAAATATAAGTTGATCTCATTCTAGATTAATTCAGAATTAGACTAACTTTTATTTATTTAATCTAACAAAAATTATTATATGGAGTTGCGATCGATTTCTTGTCTTTACAATAATTACTTGAGTTAGGTAATTAAGCTAATTTCATTCCACTTTGATATTACTTAATCTCCGTTCATGCGTTCAAATTTATTTATGAAATCCTTTTTGTATTCTGTAAATCTTTCAATCACTTATTTTTCAAGTTGTGCCATTTAAAAAATGAAATTAGACAGAATAATTTGCTATTGTTATTTATCTTTTATTTCTTTGACCTATTTAAATAGCGACTAATCACTTAGGAGTGGCCAATTATCAATTATATCATTATTTTGCTCCTCTAGTAAATCTTCTATGTATAAAAATGATCTTTGAGATTAATCGTTGAATGAACACTTCAAGCATTAAAACTAAATGACTCCGCTTTAATCGTACTTCATAACTTAAGCCTATTTCTCTGTATGATTATCACAGAATATAAAATCTTTTTTTAATTAGTTCATTTTCACTTCTCTTTATTTTGATTTAAAATATGATAAGATTTTCCTAATAATTAATATTTGTTTTGAACACCTATAGTAAATTTGCTTCTTTAATAGAAGATCAAGTAAAGGTAGATATTAGAATATTTAACATGAGCTAAATCCAAATTACATTTAAATTAATAAAAACTTTAAAGTATTATCAATTTCATTTTCTGATCTAAATATCCTGTTTGTTTTTTAAGATAATTTAATAAATGTTGCAACAATATTAATATATAAAATTTGTAATATAAAATGTTAAAGAAATATTTTAAGTTATATTATTACTTAAAAGCATATATATATAGCAAGCTGCCATTCAAAAATTCCGATGTTTTGATGTTACTTATTATGAAGTAAATTTAAATTTTTTTAAAAAATTTAACTTATTCATTTTAAAATATTTTAAGTTTTATGTTAGAACATTTAATACTTTAATAACATTTAAAAATAATAAATTCTCTTAAAATATAAAATAAAAAAAATATTTTTGTTACTTTCCTTGAAATAAGCAATTTGTTTTTATTCATTATTTTATGTTTAACTTCATATTAAAATCAATAGAATGAAATTTAGAAAAAAATTAAAAAATAATCATTAAATATTTAAGTTATTTTCAATCATATTTGATATGAAACATGAATATAATAATTATTATTATTTATATAATTAATTTGTTAATGGTAAAATCAGTCAGTCAATCAGTATTAAGAAGTTTTATTTAATGAAATACGGTGTTGGGTATCGTTGTTGTTAAAGAAATATTCTTATTGACTAAATGAACCGTTGATATGAACTGGACTGAAGTTGTATATTGCAATTCTTTCTAATAATTCTTAGTCTTCAAAAGTGTGATTATTCAATCTTACTTAATTTACAAAGAAATTAGCAAAATACTTCGATGTTTCTATTTATAAAGGGCTATGAGTAGCATTTACTCCATCAAGCAAGTTAAATCTTTCAATTTCAGGATGGAATTGAATAGCATAAATTGGATATTACTTGTGTTCATAAGATCCAACATAGATATTATCATCAAAGTCACGCATTTATGTGGTAAGAATGAATTCTTTGCTCATAAATTTATCGAAATTCTTAGGAGATAAACCCCAATGATGATAGACATATAGAGCTTAGCCATTACTAATGAAAGACTTTAAAAAGCTTGACATGTTTTAGTACATTTTTCCATAACTAAGAAACTCTACGGGTCTGCAAATATTGTCATCGTTATAATCTGATAGAACTTAAGAATAATTTGAATAAGCTAAAGTGATTAGTTCTAATCCTAAGCATGTTCCCTAAAGAGGGAAGAATCTTCCTTAGCTGTTCCATTCTAAAGTTCTATTCAAAATGTGCTAAGCTTTTAAAGTCATGTCAGTGAATCCAGTTTTGTTTGCAACATTCAACCACAAATCAGCACCACCTCCAGGGAAATGAACTCCATTAACTCTTTCTAAAAGATAATCAATTTCTTCATAGCTGTAACTAGAATAAATGGGGACAATTTAAGCTCCTTCACTCTACCAGTGTTACACATCGCAAGCATCAACCCAGGTAAACTAATCTGCAGGGAAATTAGGGTCAGAAGATGTTTGCATGAATAAACCAATAACTGGTTTATTGAAGCTTTGATAGCTCAAGCCTAAGAAAGCGAAAAACACTAAAATTAACTTTACTCTATTCATTAATAATTAGTAAGATTAGTCGAAATTTTTTATGATGTAAATTACTATTGATAATTGAGTAAGTATCTTTATTTTTCAAATATGAGCAATTTATTTATGAAATACAAAATTAATATCTTTAATAATACCATCAATAAAAGTAAATAAATAGTTCAAATGTAATTATCAAGATATTATCAATTGTACTGCCACTTATTAATAAAAAGTTTGCTAATTTTATATTGTAAATTGAATTAATAAGTAACAATGAAATGTTTATTATAACTTTAACAAATATCTTCTACGTAAAGAATTGAGCAATATTAGATTTAAGATGATTTTTAAAATAATGGGTTTTACAGACAAGCGATGAATATTTTAATTATTATATTTTCTATGAATAACCTACCTAATCTAATAAATAATTTTTTGATATCTATCAAAAATTTTGTTTATTGTCTGTCTGTCTTTCTACAGTCAAAAAATATTAAAATTGACTTAATATTTTTAGAACTTTTATTTTGAAGGTTATATTTTAATAAATTCATTTTAAAGTTTGTAATATTTTGATAAAATAATAGCTCTCATTTCATATCTTGAAATACCAAGTAATAAAAGTAGTAAGTTTAAATTAATATGAATCTCCTATTTATGAAAGATTGCCAAATAACAAAATAATAATTTTTTCTATGATTTTTCTAATCTAATAAGAATGTTTAGATGTATATAAAATTTACTTCTTTAAAATATCTTGAACAAAACTAAAATATGTTCTAAGCTATTTACTTCATTTTTTTTTGTTAGATATTTAAAATTAAGTTATTTTAAATAAAAAATTCATATTTTAAAGAGAAATTTGCTATTAATTAAATTATTTTTAAAATATATTTCAAATTAATAATTTTTTTATTTAAATTAATTTTATTTTATTTCAAAAATTTTCAAAAGAATTCTAATTTTAACTTTAAAAAGAAAATTAAATTCTGTCTTATGTTAAAATTCTATCTTTTTTTCATAGATTTATTTCGATATTTTTTAAATTATCTAAAGCTAAATATTTTAAAAATATATAAAATTAAAATACTTTTCTCTTTTTTAACAGATATAAATTAATTTACATTTATTATCTAAGCTTTGATCAATTAATTATTCAAGGTTATATAATATGACCAAGTAAGTTTTAAAATATTAAATTATTTTTAGATACTTAATTACTGAAAAAAGGATTATTACTTCATAGCATATTTTTTTTAAACATATTCCCTTTTTTAAATAAGTTTTTACAAACAATTGGAATAAAATTTTAATCATGAATATTTTATATGTAAAAACAAATTTCAAAGTAGTTAAAATTAATAAAAATATTTATACAGAGTATTCACAATGATAGAGTTTATTTTTGGATATTTGTAAAATAATAAATTTAAATTATTAATTCTTACTAAAAAAATATTTATGTTTGACTTTAAAGAAGTAAATACAAATTAAATAAACATGGAAATAAATAAAAATAAGTTAGAAAAATATAATAGAAGATTACTTGAACGAGAGATGTGCTTGAATCGAAAAACGCATTTTTAATTAGAAGATATTACTTAACAAAAAATACGATGAATTATTTTTTATATTAAAAAACCACCTTTGAATTTATTCTATGACTAAAAAAGGTTGACTGACCGAATGATTGATCGATGAGTTGAATGTAAAAGTTAATATTTAAGTAGTATAACATTAATCATATAAATTCATTTCAAACTAAATTAAACATTTAATTACGCTATATAAATCAAATCATCAAAAAAAAAAACAAATAGTTATTAAGTATTTTCAGAATAAAAACAAGCACAGCACAGATAGAGAAAACAAAAATTTTAGTGTTGGGTCAATGTAGAATTTAAAGCATGAAACAAAGCAGTTTGTTAAGTACCTCGGCGAGTTGAGCACTTATGAAATTCTTTAATGCATTTTGTCTGGCATTTTCGGAATTTTAATCTGTGTATTCACTAGCGCAATAGTAAATACAACTTTGGTGGAGATCTCAATAAATATCATCTTTGCATTTGTAAGAATTAATATTGCATTTTAATTAATTTAAAACTATATTTGGAGTTCTTTCATTCAAATAAATCTATTTTATCTCTGACAATCGATAAGCATATTTTATATTTTAAAGTATTTCGGTGTTTGCTTTTTGATGATCGGCATATTGCTAGTTATGAGAATTTAAAGTCTTCCTGAAACTTCCGAAATGGGAAAAAGAAAGCCTTTCCTTTTCATATTTTCATGCATGGTTATTGTTTCAGGAACTTTTTGCTTTTTCCTTGAAGACAACTGGTTCATAAAGTTGCCTCCCTTTGAAAAAGGTCCTATTTATACAATAATTTCGATGTCATTGAATTTCTGTGTAATCTTTTCAATAGTTGATTTGATGAATTTCTTTATGGGATTCTGCTAGAAATCTCATTAAAAAACAATGGTAGAAACACCCAAACAGGTAAAATTAATTTAATAATTTATAAATAAACATTTTTAAAATTAAAAAAGATCGCAGTTACATTATTTTTAAGTGTAGTAATGGGGTTGTTTTATGGCATAATCTTCTCAATATTTGATTTAGAAGATCAACGTGGAGCTAAATTAGACTCATAATTGATATAAGACGAATATTATTGCATTCCAATCGCATCTATCTTAGGTTTTGTAGGTGGGTTTATTAATGAACTTTTAAGAATAAGAGGAGATTATCTACCAATCATCTTCACAAGACAAGAAGACCCCTTCAACGAAGAAATCTGAAGATAAAAATAGTTCTAAAGAATATTAACAAATTACAACAACAGTAAGTAAGTATAAAAGCTCTTTAATTTATAGCGGAGAGATAATAAATAATAGTATTTAAACAATTGAATGAAATAGTAATTTAGAAGTATAAAATTAAACTCTGAGTGCTAATTCAAAACAACATTTTTAACAATAAACAAGCATATATATCGATCATAGATCAACTAGTGAGTGGATTAAATAATTAGTTATTTGATCGCAACTAAACTACTAGAAAGGGAAATTAAAATAAATAAATATATTAATAAAACATGTAAAAATAAATAAATAAATTTAAATTTTTTACTAATCAATCAATTAACTTTTTGTATATTAATTATTTATATTTTATTTCATATTTTTATTCTTTCCTTTCTCTTTAAATTCAACCATAACTTACTTCATCAGTAAAAGTCTCTTTTTAAATCCCATATTTAATCTAAATTTTATAAGGTGCACTGTTTATTTCTTATTGCTTTTCTTAGAAACTAGAATAAATATCTAATCTATATTATTTGTTATAATTACTAAAAAATATTAAGTTTTTATATTTAATCAAATTATTCCTTTTTTCATTCAAATCAAAACAAATAAAATAAAATAAAGGAATTTAAGTTAATGATTTTAAGGGAAATTAACAATGAATATCTTTTGAATTTAACTAAATATTATTTTATATTTTGTTTTTTTCTTTTACTTTTTAAAACTTATCCGTCGATTAACTGATTAAAATCATATTTTTTGTCAAAAACCTTTATCATTCTATTTATTTATAAATCAATTCTAAAAATTTTTAATTTTTTTTGAAGTTTTATTGAATTTTTCTTTGAAATTGTAAAGAAACTATAAAAAACAATTAATTAAAAATAAGCAAAATACTCAATAGATAGGAAAATAAAATATGTAAAAATAAATAAATTTAAGTTTTTTATTAATCTATTTTAATGTTTAATTATTATATAATTTTATATTTTGATGTTTCTCTCAAAACTACTTCATTTAGTTTTCTTTTACTTATTTTATTATTTTATACATAATAAAAAACTTAATTTTATCAAAGAGAAGCCATTTATTTGAAATTACTTTTATTGAATTTAAATCAAGTTGTTTATAATTATTTGAAATATATTTATTTAGTTTTTATTATTATCAATTTTTGTTTGTTTGTTTTGTTACTCACTCTCGTGTTTAAATGTTTTATTTATTTATTTATTGTTTTTTCACTCGAATTTTTTAATATGGTTTTGTTTTTCCTTTAAGTCAATTTGGGCTTTAGTTTGTTTTCTTTCTTCATCATTAGCTCTTACATTTAATTTGCTAGCTTAATCCTTGTATTTGTAGAATGTCTAGGCAACTAAAATAGGGAATACCAATGAGGCTTCGCTGAAAACTTTAACATAGCTGGATTAGACTTGCATTTTACCCCAACTGACAGCTTCACTAATTCTGGCACCAGCATCGGAGCCATCATACATTAAACCAGTGTTAATGAAAACTCCATAGTCTGCTCCATTTCTATAAATATTAATTAAATTTTTATTACAATAAAATCTTTAAGCTTTATTTTAATTACCTCCATATATTGGCATTCATAATATGATGCTTAACTAGGCCTCCTCCGAGGACTAAAGCACCAGTCTTTTTGGACTTGAGGACAATCTTATTCAATTCTCTGACATCTTAAACTATATCTAGGATGAATCCATCGACCTTGTAAGAGAAATAATAGAGCATATCACCAATAGCTCCATCAACAATAGCAGGACAGAAGACAGGAATATTGTTCTTGTATGCCCAATAGTAAACGCTCTCTTCGTTGTTTATCTTTTCACCAAGTTTTCTAATAACCTTTGAAGGAGACCATATTTCGCCATTTTTCTTTTGCTCTTCGTACCTATTTGATATAAGATTATAATTATTAATTTTTTCACTCAAACTAAAATTCTAATTTTTATCTGTGATGTTATCAAACAAAAAAACAAATATTTTTTGGTATTTTTTAATTTTTAAAGCTTTCTCTACTCAAAATTATCTCTACAAAGGATAAAAAATGTCTTAAATAAATTAAATATGTTGGAATTTCTCCATTTTTATTAAAATTTCAGCCAATTTGTAAAATAATTTTTTGATATGAGTTGAAAAATCCATAAAATGGGTAAAAAAGATGAATATTTTATATGAATTTTTGTATTTATTTACATTTCAAAGAAAATAGGAATTAACCAGTCTTCTAACTTGCAATAATTTTCGCTTGGGACAACTATGTTTCCTATTCTGTTAAGAGCTTTCTTTCTCATTTCTAAATCATTGGCATGGAAGTCACCCAAATGGAAGTCTGACATACACTTAATGAAATCTTCCTCAACACCACCAGCAGTAGTAACTATGCAATCTACCATTTTGTGTTAAACTAAAAATCTAATTATTTCGCGCATACCGCAAGAAATCATATTTGAAGTATATCCTAAGAAGATGGTGCATCTAGTATTTTTTCTGACTTCTTCATCTAAATGTTCCTCAGTATCTCTTTCAAGATTGACTTCTTCGTCACTCAAACGCCAGAAAATCATCTTTTTGACTTCCTCTATTGCTTAAGCTAAATTAGTTGATTACAAGCCAAATGTGTGATAGCTCTCAAAAAGTTTATCAAAATCTAAGCCTTTGTTGAAATCATAGCCTTCAATTTTAGCAGAAGTAGGCTTTTCTGGTATGATTTAGTAAATTTAGTGTAACTACTAGTTGACTTGCTATTATTCAGCAGATAATGCTGTGGCTTGCTCTGATTAATTATTATTCATCGATTCTATAATTAAATGTACAATTTAATAGTTTAAGCTAATATTTAATTGCCTATTAATTGTGTATCTTTTTTATATTAAATCTTGTTTATTTGTTTGATTAATACCAATGTTTTTGTTAAATTATTAATTATTAAAATTTAGATTCCTCTCTTTATAAATAGCAAACAAATAGTTAGCAAACTAAAGTAGTAGCAGTTTAATTCCTTTAATTATTTGATTTAACAATTAAATTCTTATTAATAATAATCAATAAGCCAACTCATCAGTATTTAATTTATTCTTTCACAATTTTATATCAGAATATTATAATTCTTTCCATGTCTCAACTCATTCTATTTTAATTAAATCTGATTTCTTTCAAAATCTACTAATTCAACTTGCCCTAACTCCTTAAAAAAGCAATAACATAAATTAAAACTAAATAGTAAACCAAAAAAACCTTCATAAAAAGCATTATCAACCTAAATATTCAAGAAAAAAACAATTTTTCCAATTTAGTCTTTAAAAACTCCTTAGTTAAGAAAAAAAAATAACTTGAGTTATTTAAAAAATTAACCAAATAATATGAGAATGTAAAAGTTATTTTATTAATATCTAATTTTGTAATAATCCTATTTGTTACTTCAGGCGAGTATCTTACCTTAAAAAGTTAATCAAAACATAAAATTAGAAATTCAAATTCATTAATTTAAAGTGATTTCTTCAACTCATAGAATTTTATAATAACATTTAAAAGTTATAACTTAAAATTGATAAAAAATACAAAAATCATTTGAGTTAAGTTAGGAAAATAAATCTGTTATGAATATAGGCAGTAAAATTTTATAAAAAATTCTATTTTTAATACCAAACAATAGAAAACAAATTTTTAAACATATGAAATACGTTTTAATAATTTTCTTTTAGCATTAATCATATAAAATGAGTAGCTAAAATATGCAAATATATTTAAATGAATAGTTAGAAATGTTTTTATTTATGATTTTTATAGAGTGTAAACCATTTAATAATTTACAAGTATGATCCACTGTTAATTAAAACAATAAGTTACAGAATTTAAAGTATTTAACAAATCAAATTAACAGCCAAATTAGAAAAATTCTTTTTCTTTCTTTTAAAAATAATTAAATAAGTTTCAGAAATTTAGAATATTCAAATTTACGTTAGCAAAATTCAAAATTATTACGTGATTTGATATCCCAGAGGAAAAACAGCAGAGACCAAATCAGAATTTATCTGTAAGCTAAATTTTGAAATTTATCTGTGAAATCCCTTTTTATTTAACAAAAGGCAACATATAATATATTTAAATACATATCTATTATACGAAGCTAAATAAGCTTTAAAATAATTTTTATTTGTGCTTTAAGAGAGGTTTAAATTCGAAATATTAAAAATAAATTTAAAATCTTGTATATTTATTTATAACTATCATCTTTTTTGAAAAATTATTTTTACTGCAAACAAATTTGCTAAATTTTTGGTATTCATTTTTAGACAGTTACAGAATAATGAATGATAGATAGATGGTAAATATTTTCAAAAGGAATATCTCAAATATTAAATAAGTTTATTTAAATAATAATAAATATATCAGTAAGCTAAAATTTATGAATAAATAAAAATAGAATAAAGGCAAGATTAAAATAAAATAAGAAAAATATATGGAATTGTTTTAGTTAGATTTCTATTTTTTATTAAATTAATTTAAGTAAATGCTCTAATAATAAAAATAATTAATTAATTAAAATTCATCTAAATATCAAAAATTAATTAAATTTTGATTAAATTTTTCAAAAAAGCTAATATTTTTAGATATTTAATATTTATTTATTTATTTTTTTGAATGAATGAATGATTTTAATTTTATAACAGTTTTATTTTAATAATTTTTTTAACAAATGATGGTTTAAAATTCTAAGAAGATTATTTAATTAAATTAATTTAAGTAAATGCTCTTATAATAAAAATATAATTAAAATTCATCTAAATATCAAAAATTAATTAAATTTTGATTAAATTATTCAAAAAAAGCTAATTATTGTTAGATATTTAATATTTATTTATTTTTTTTGAATGAATGATTTTAATTTTATAACAGTTTTACTTTAATAATTTTTTTAACAAATGATGTTAAAAATTCTAAGAAGATTATTTAATTAAATTAATTTTAGGGAATTTATAATATAATCTCTGATATATCACAAACCCATAAAAGATTAATAATTTGAATTAATTGTTTAAAAATTATTGATAAGTTCTAAATAAAAAACTTATAAGGATAATATTTTATACTTTTGAAGAAAATATTTTTAAATTTTTGAAGATTTAATTTCAGTTAAAATATTATTATTTCTTAAATTAAATTATATCTAAAATAAATTCTATTCATTTTGTAAAATTGTTGGATTTAATTTATTGAAAATAAAGCATAACATAGTCAAATAATTTATAGTTAGCACTAAATATTTATGAGAAAACTTAATAAGTTAAATGTATTAAATCTAAATTTTTATAAAAAAATCTTTTATCTTTCAAATTTTAGTTATTGAAACTCCAATTTTCGATTTAAAAAGTAAAAATATTTTGGAAGAACATTAAAAAATTAAATTTTCACTAACTGATTATAGAATGAAATATTTTAGAATTTGATTTTAATTGGTGTTTTTCAAGGAATTTTTATATTTAGAAAATAAAGTGATGTAAAAGCTAATTAAGATGGAAAGGTAATAATAATAATAAAAGACACCTACTAAAGAATTTAAAAAATTTTAATGAAAAAACCAAGATTAATATTAAAAAAGTTAGTTTAGGGTTGATAAATCTCTAATATAACATGCAAAAATTAACTTAGAATATACATTCTATATTTTAATTTTTTTTTTTTGGAGTCATTTATTTTAATCAATTCAAAAAATAAAATTTATTTATTCTAAATTATCAGATATATCAATAAATCATTTGTTAAATAAAATAATTATAAAATAGATATCAATTAAGATAAAATTAACTATTATAAAAAAAATAAATGTAAAATTTTAATGGAAATAAAATGAAATATTATTATAAATTATTCTTTATATGCACAGTATGAATTTTATGTTATATATCATGAATTTATTAGGAAAACAGAAAATTATTGAAAGTTAATATGCATGTTTGTTTGTTTATTTATTTATTTGTGTATGTGTGTATGCACTTATTTATATAGTTATGTATATTATATAGTATAAATGGATGGATGGACCTTTGTAAATATTTTTATGAAAGCTTTTTATTTATTTATTTAATTAATTATTTTATAAATTAATGAATTTTATTTATTTAATTTGAGGGTTTGTTTTTTTTGTTACGGGTTTGCTGAAAGATTGTTTTTTTAAATACATTATTTATTTTTTTAGGAATAATTGAGTTAATTAATCTACTTATTTATCTATTTATCTACCAATCAATCGATCATGTCTACGTTGTGTTCAATAGTATGATCTACACTTTCTCCTTCATATTCAGATGAGGAAATAGATTCTTATTGAGCAATATTTTTGCAGATTGCTATATATTCTTTGAATTCTGTGAGGAATACCATTTTAACAACATTTTCGTCAAAAGTGCTTTTGCAAGAGAACTCTCCATAGAATCTTACTTTGGTTTTTACTTATCCGATATTTAAATTCATGCTGCCGAATGCAGTTTAGTTATGGTTAGGAACGTTTTAGAAAGTTGATTCATCATTTAATTGACTTTGCTTGCGAGACTGAGTGTTGTTGCTTTTGTTTTAATTTTTGTGGAAAGAGCTTGTCAATCTTTCTTCAGCTGTTTCGTAGTGCTCAAAGAAGGTATGGCCAGCTTTTATGATTTATGCACGAACAATATCATCGATTTCAGGCACTTTATGATGGTTAACAGATGTATAGCAGTTGTTGAGATTAGGACCTATATCAGTGTAGAAGCTAGCAAGGACTAAATCACGTTAAACCTTTTGCATTTATTTAGCGAAGATAATGTGGGAGACATTAAATTCTTTGTTTTGAGAGCTTTCAATTGTGGTTTATTTCTAAATTTTATTTGTGTATTTTTTTAAATTTTACAATCCTTTGAGGAGCTTTTCAGCACTGCAGCTGACTTCAAATTCCAATTTAACAACATTAATGCACATTTGATTGCTGATACTTTTTCTGTGTCCATTTACTTAGACATTTTAAGTTGGGCTGGGAGGTTGTTTGCTTCTTCTAAAATCAGGATTGCTTAACGGACCATTGTTTGAGAAAGAATTTTATGTGGAATTTCTAAAAGATTAGTACTTTTCTGTAGGTACGTTCGAGTTAGATTCAGTTTATTAGTAGCTATTGGGAACTCCTATATTTATGAGAGCCTAATTGACGAACTTTGCGGGTACTTGTTTAGATCCAAATATGATTTTTTCATCCTTTTAAGAGTAAATTACTTCTAAACCTAACTTAGAATTTGCTACATTCCAATCAGGATCAGTATTTATTTAGTTAATTTCTGTAATTAATCTTTGAGCGACTTAACACCAGCTTCCTTCTGTGTTATCGCTAAAGTTAGGGACGTAGTTGACATCATATTTATTCATATAAGACTATAACTTGATTTTATCATTGAAAGTGAAATCTTCATCCTTAGTTGCTGGATTTGTGTAATAAATTTAAGCCTAGGACTAATTTTGATAATGAATTCTTGATGGTTTGTCTTATTTTTAATTATATTTGACATTACTTTGCTCGCAGCACATCATGTTCCCCATTTTTATAATAAATGATATGATTTAATATTTTATGTTTTTTGCAGCTAATCTGTATAAATATTTAGAATATTCTGTGTTGTTTGTCTATCTATGCAGACGTTATGAGTATTAACAATCTTTTTTGGCTAAGAAATAAATATTATGGTCGACTTTATGGTGACTAGTTTCCTTAAAATTGAGAGTTTGTTTGTTTATTGAAAAGCAAAGTATTTTTTAAATCTAATTTAATTAATTTATCAAATAATATTGAATGCTTTCAGATATTTCTTTTGATTAACTTTTTTTTTAGTTCCTAACTTTTTGATTGATAATTTTTTGATATTTATTTTCAAGTTAATAATCATTTCTACAAAATTGTTGTTTTTGAACTATATCAAATAACAAAATCACTAATGTTGTTTGTTTGTTAATTTTCATATATAATTTTTGTTTAGATATTTCATTTTTTCTGATTGATTACTTGCTTAATCTTTTTTGTTTTTTTGTTCGCTTCTTTCTTGAACCAAGTAAAAGAAAAAATTAAGTAAAGCAAATTAATTGATCTCTATTTATTTATTATCATTCTATTTCGCTTATTTTTAAAGAATATCTAAACATTTTTTGCATTAATTTCCGTATGCTTAATATTATAATTGTTATTATTTTTTTTATACTATTCTCATTTTGATCAGCAAGCTAAAAAAACAACCAAACAAACTATCTCAATATTTTTATGATACTTATTTCGTATTTTCAAGTCATATATGTTTATTTTTTAACCTCCTTATCTTGCTTTTACATCATATAATTTTTACAACAAATTAATTAATTAATTCATCTTTTTTAACTTAAATTTGTCAAAGATATTTATTGTTGAATGAATATTTTTAACTTCATTTACTACCACTGTTTCAATTTATATTTCCTTTGCATTTATCATTAATATTTATTTAGCAAATTTAAATCTACGAATAAAAAACCTCCTAGATTATATTTCTACTGCTTCAATAAATATGTAAGAAGGATTAAATTTATATTTTTACAGTTATTAGGAAAATGATAAAGCAACGCACCAATTAGATCTTAAAATCAAAAAAGCCTTACTGTTTCTTGATTTTTACCAAGACCTAATTGAAAGATAATAAATGCTTCTTCCGAATTTCTGGATATTGTAAAGTATTATATTGGAATATAAAAGAATTTAGATACTATCTTGCAAACCAAATGTAAATTAGTTAATGAAATCAAATTATCCTTAATTTTCAAATGCAGATTCAAATTTAATTTCATAAAATTTCCTTATCATACACATTGATATAGATAATTAACATAGAAAAATGATCTAATTAAAATGGATAATAAAGAAATCTGATAAAGTTAACCCATCTTTCAGATCTTAAATTATTAAATTCAATTTTATTAAATTTGTATTTTTCCTTCAAGTATAAGCTAAAGTTTTCCAAATTTTTTACGATTTTAATGATGCATCATAATGCGCTTCTTTTCTGCTATTAATTATGTATTATGATGAGCTGAAAAATTAATTTAGATACTTATAATTTACTGCCCAAATTTGAGGTATATATTTTAGACACCCTTGACATAATTAATAATAATTCACAAATTGTCTGAAAGGATAAATTTAATTCCATTAAAAACACTAATTTCTTATCAAATTTGATACAAAAAATAGTAATCATAAAATCCTAATAAACCAAATTTTAAGTACAAATTCTAGAAGGAATCTAAAATCATTATTTTAATGAAAATATTTACTTATTTTTTATGCAATCAAAATATTTTTGAAAAACTTCCTCTTTCAAATTTCAGAAAAATAAATAAATAAGCAATATTGAGTATAAAATTTTAATGCAAAAATTTAAAATTAAAAATAATGAATAAATCCTAAGTAAGGAAAGAATTCCTGCATTTCATGTTAAAATTGGCTTTCCTAACTTTGTTAAAACAAATAAAAATATGCTTTCTTAATTGATATGTTAATTTTTTTAAAGAAATTTGATAAAAATATATTTTCAAATCAATAATTGAAAAAATAAAGTCATTCATTTAACAACCAAAAGTAAATTTTATATAAATATATATTAATCTTTAAATGAATTTAGTTTAAAATAATATCAATTATTTTTACCTAATTAGTTAGATATTTTTTAATAATTTATTAAGTTAAATATAAAAAAATGAGTATTTTATTTATTAAAATTAATTTTAACAATTTTTAATAAAAATTTTAATATTTGATAATAAAATTTTTTATTTATTTACAAGTCTTTTTTTAAATTAATTTTTATGAAATTAATAAAATAAAATAAAATGAAAACTTAGATTTAGTGAATGAATACAAATTTAATTAGGATTTTTAGTATAATGAGTGCAATATAAATAAAATATTTTGTATTTTTAATCAAGACCACATTTTAATTCTATTGTCAGCACCGACAGTTACTATTGTATCTTAGTTTAATCTGCACACACTATATACATCACCTTAATGAGCCCTATCCAAAGAGCGAATTGCTGGAGATTCTGTTTTCCAGTTCCAGAATTTTATAGAGCTATTATTTGCAGTGCTTACTATCTCTTCACCTGATAGCTTTAATATCTTCCAAATACTGCCAGTATGACCAGACAAAGTTCTAATACACGTTCCAGTTGCCCAATTCCAAATTTTTATAGTTTTGTCTTATCCACCACTAGCAACTTCTGTCTTAGACAACTAGCAAACAGTTTAAACACCACCTTCATGAGCTAAATATAAATAAAAAATTTAATTAAAAACCATGCAATTATCCTTCTAAAGATTTGATAAAATTCAATTTTTTTGTTGCATTTGATAAGAAAAAAATAATTCTATGTGTCTCAAAAACACAATTCATAATAAAAACCATCTTTTGGCTGATCAAAATAAATCAAATAGTTTGCTTTAAATTTCATCAAAATCCCCCTAAACTTATTTAAAATATGAGCTTATTTTTGTAGATAAAGATTAAACTATTAAATAGAATGTTCAAAGACTTTTGATGCTTACAATACAAATAAATAAGGGGGATTATCAATTTAAAAGTTATATTTTTTCTACTGAATAATAAATAAATAATGTAAAGTAAATTATTTAAACTAAATCCTTTTTCTTAATAAATTAAGAAATAAAATAAATGAGGGGGATTTTATTTTAAAGTTAAATCCTTTGTCGTCATCGTTTTTAATTTTTGCAAAGGGGGATAGCAGATGACATAATTAATACTTTAAAGTAATTAGCTTGCTTGATAAATATTAACTGAATGTATTTATTTTTTAATATTTTATAGTTAAATCTATTTAAAATAACAATACTTTATCATTTTATCAGTATCAATACTTTCAATAAAGTTAACATGTTATTTTTAAATTTTTTTAACTTTATCTTTAATTATAACTTGTTTATCTTACTATTTTGATTAATTCAATCAATTTATTTAATTTTTTAGTTTTTATCCAAGCATTAATAGTAATAAATAAATAAATTATTTATTTATTTGCTTAAGAAAACAAGTAACCTTATTTATTTTATTTACTCTGCTTTGATTGATCAAATTCATTTTGCTTCGCTCATAAATAATAAAATTGGTTTTTATTTATTTATTTATTTATTTATTTATTTATTTATCTAGCTTAAATGATAATGTGTTTTTTGTTGGCTTAACAGGTTATTGTTTTTTACCTTTAATTTAGAGTATGCATTATGAACTAAGGCGAGGTCCTGATATTTGTTACCACTTCCATATCATGATATAACCATCTTTACTGCCAGAAAGAATCTCTTCGTAACTTGGTCTGCAGAGACTTGTCACAGAACCACTGTGCCCTGAGAGTGTTCTTATGAGAGTCTGAGATGCCCAATCCCATATTTTAATAGTGTGATCATCTCCTGCACTGGCTATAGTAATATCATTTAATTTTATAATACATCTAACTGCTGCTGAATGACCATTCAATATTTTCACTTCATAGCTATCGAATTTTCTTTATTAATCAAACTACCAAATTCTAATTGATTTATCACCGCTGCCACTAGCAAGAGTGTCTTTGTTTAAAGGACAGACACACCAAACGAAGGACTAGTGCCCAGACAATGTGAAAATCTAGTTATTAGTTTTCAAATCCCAAATCAACACATTTTTTTCATGTTCTCCAGCTACTAGCCAATCTTCATTCATCACTTCTACAGAATAGATTGGACTTTGTGCACTTGTAAATAACTAAAATCAATAAAAATAAAATCTTATTTTGTATCAAATATTTAATTTATTTATTTATCTATCTATTATGAAAAAGATAATATTTATTTTAACGCTTTTAACTCCTATTTAATGCTATTACAATTTTTAGTTTATTTAAACATTGTTAAAAAAATTATCTTTAACTTATTTTTGATGATTTGTTATTCCAAATATATTAAATAATTAAATGTAAAATAATGTATTTTCATCAATTTTTTTGGTTTACTTTCATTTTATCTTTAAATGTTGGAAGGAAAGGCTCATCTGGGTCTTTAACTAATTTGGATAGTTTTGTTAAATTCTTTTTCAAAATAGGATTTGCTTTGAAATTGGCAAATTTAGTTAATTCATTATCAAGAGCTTCTATGTGCTATCTGATGCCATTTAATAAACTTTCTGTCCCTGTCTTTCCTTCTGAGTAGTATTATTGTATGAAATATTTAGGTGATTATTGGTAATGCAAGACTTGCAAACCTAGATGAACAACTTCAGGGTTTTAATTAGTGATGTAGTTTCCAGTTTTGACAGAATTCAAAAACTCTTGCATTAAGTTGTATTTTTCTGAATGATCAAATCCCTCCATAGTATCAATTGAATGCATGAACTACATTTCTATTTTATTTAAAGTTTCCATAATGTTATTTCTCATTTCATTAAAGAATTATTTTATTTAGTCTTTTTCATATCCTTTTTGCTTGTAGTTAGATGAATTATTGAAATCACTATTTTCAATCTTTCTCTAAAAGTTCAATAGCCTTTGCACAGTTTCTCCTACTGTCAAATGACTATGTGTTTCGTGAATTGTTTAAGTGAGACAATCTTTGCATAAATCTCTTGTATTTCCTTTACAGTTTAACTCATTACAATAATACTCTACTGCTAATCCATGCAACATGCATTTTCTTTTATTATCTTCCAAAGGATTTAAACTCATTTGATAACCTAGCTTTGACATTTTATTACCTATTTTAATGTATGTATAATAAATGACCTAAAATCTACAACTAAAGCTAAATTTTATGATTTAATCTTCTAAGTTATATTCTATGTATTGAGCAAAATAATAATAATGAACTACCTTCTTATTTCAAAACTCTCTAAAATCAATAATTGTACTTTTTTTTGTAATTTACTTAATTGTTTGTTTAAATTTTTACAAATTTTAACTCTTAAAGAAAATTAAAAATTTAATAAATTTGTTAATTGTTATTTTATGGATTTTAATATTTCAATTTATGAGGTGTTTAGTACGTACATACTCACTAACTAATTAAAAAAATATTTATTAACTTTTATTAATGATATTTTTCTTTTCTGTTTATCAATACTTTACACTTATTTTTGTATGTATTTTACTTTCCAACGAATCTTTTATGCTATAAATCATACTTTCTAAAAGCCACTCACTCATCACTTATTTAAAAACAAAATAATTACCATCCATTGACTTATTATTAATTGTTCTTCATGCGTATTTCTTTCTTTTTATAAATATCATAAATCTAACAAACAAAATTAATTCATTTTTATAAATTTATTTTTTCAAAGTTTAATTTAGAAAATAAATAAGTTTCCATTATTATTTAGCTGTAAAAACATTCCAAAATAAACTTGATAGTCTGATTATAAATAAAAAAATAATTTTTTTTATATATTATTTATTATTTATTTTACATACAAATTTCTTAATTTATTATTCAACACAATATAATTTGAATTTATTTTACTTAATATTATTATAATATATTGAATTTAGAATTTTCAAAAAACAAATTAATTTTGACTATTTAAAAATACAGTGTTTAAATTTTCAAAATTTAATCTAATTTTTTTTATAGAAAATATTTTTTTTAATTTGTTTTAACTAAATATATTAATTAATTCAAAAATTAAAAAGATATTTACTATGCTCTAGTTCTACAATTATTTTTTTTGTTAATTTAAAAAAAAAAATTTTATATTTTAATTAGTTTTTTAAGATTCGTTTGTAATTAACTAATTATATTAATAGAGAAGTTAATTTTGTTAGAAATGAAATTTTTAGATAATATAATGGATATGACAGAGAAGTTATAAATTCTTTAGATAATAGATGAATATGTGTTGTTATAGTAAATTATTATATATTTTTCTATAAATAAGTATTTAGTACAAAGAAATATTAGTAATTAATATTTAATAACTAATAACTATTGCTAAGATAAATTTGGTGGTGATGGATAAATTGTTTGTTAACACTAAAATAAATGTTTGTAAAATATACTGAAAATATTAAAAAATTTGTATTTAATTTATTATTTCACGATTAATATTTTTTAGTAAAGGTTTTTTATCTGTAAGATTTGCATTTAAATATTATTAGATAGATATATATATTTTTGAATAATAAGAGCGAATAACTGACTAATTCAATTATAAAGACAAGCAATGTCTGTTCTAAGTAATTTAGCCAAAAAATATTATGATGAGGAAAAATCCAAGGCTATTGATAAATTTACATTCATATTTTAATCAGAGAAGGATGAAGATATGGATATAAAATAGCTTTAAACAGCTAAAGTTTATCACATAATTGATGAGCCATAATTTAATGAAAATGATCAAATGTATTCAAAAGTTAATTCAAGATTGAATTCAGGGCTCTAAAACACAATAAATAGCATCAAAAGACAAAAGAAATTTCTGTAATTTAATCAAAACTAACAGATGAGTGAGTAGTAAATATAAAGGTAAATACTTTTTGAGAAGAAAGGGAAGGAAATTAAAGAAAACATGATCTAATAGAAGAAAGATAAAGTTAACAAAATTAAAAATTAATCAGAGACAATATTCAAGTAATAGGAAGAAATAGCTAAAAATGTCATTGATATACATAAAAAGGGTCATTTAGTTTATGTAGATTATGGAGAATCCTAAGAGAAAGGACTCTAAGGGATAAAAGAGTTCAAGTAAAGTCCAAAATAAAGTGATTTAGAAGCAATTGCTTATTCTGATATTATAGCTAAGACTTAAAAATTTCTAGACCAAGAAGAAGTGTATAAATAAATTAAGAGAGACTTACAATTTAAGTTTAATATTAATGGAGATAAAAATGATTCTTTAAGTGAATATTATGATCAAGTAGATGATCAATAATTGCTAAATAAACGAAATAATTCTAATGAGATTTAAAAGAAAAATTCTATTTCCAAAAAAATCAGAGAACTTGTTGAAGGAGACATTGATTTTCAAGTGACTAAAGAATAGAAGAAAAAATTGAACAAAGACTTGCTCAAATACCTAAAAAGCGAGTCTGAAAATCCTAATAATGAAATTTAAAATAAAAGTGGTGTTAGTACAACTCCTGATAAAAAACTAAAGGAATCTAGTGTTGAAAAAATGATATCTAAGCCCTAAAAAATATTAAAAAACTCATTATCTGCTATCTAAGGAAAATTGAAATAAGTAGTTTTAATTGATAAAGAAAATAATGTCAAGGATTGTGCAGAAAATCAAAATAAAGAATAAAATTGTAAAATGAATGATGATCAGGATAATGTTTGCAAAACAGAAATTGACGAAAGGCAGAGGATGAAAGTTCCCCTCAGAGTCTCTCGCTCTTAAATATCAAACAGTTAAAATAGAAAGCAATTAGAAGAAGAAGAATTGATAAATAATTAGATTCAATAAAATTAGTCTCAACCTAATTAGTTATCTAAAGAACTCTCATAAAAAAGTAAAAATCAGCAAATTTAAAGTTAAAAAAACCAGAATTTAGAAAATGGTAGCTTGAAAAACTTAGTAAATTAAAAGTCTAAATTATAAAACAAAATAGAGTAACAAAAAATAAAGTTTGGAGAGCTTTTAAATCAAATTCAATTCATAACAAACTAAAAGAAAAGCTCTAACAGCCCTGATTAATAACAATAATTGCATCAAACTAAAAAATAATAAATAAGTGCTACTGATATAAATCTTCTCAACAATGTAAAAAAAGTAAATGAAAATCAAATATCTGTTAACATGGCTTATCCTAACAATATTAGCTCAAATAATTCTATGCACGGAGTTAAGCTGCCTCAGATTGGAAGTAATAGTAAATAGATCAATAACTCCTCTCAAATAATTTAACAAAGCAACAGTAGCTAGCGTAGATAGTTAAGTGGATAAAGGAATTTCTACAGTGTACATAACAACAATAACAGCAGCTTTTTAGATTAAAACTAGTCTCAATAACAAGTTAATAATTTTTAAAATGAAATAAATAATAATGTAATTATAGGAAATCAAAAAAAAGTTGATGTTTCTGTTTCTAGTAGATTGAAAAGAAGAAATTCTGGTTTAAAGTAAAATTCGAATAAAATTAATAAAAATTTCTCTGCGTTAGACTCATCAATATAGTCTTTAGTGGATGCTTCTTTCGTAAAATTGATAGATGTTAAGTAAGTAAAATCAGAAGGCAATCCCAACAGAAAAAATCGTTCTCATAAATCATTACACACAAATACCACAGCCAATCAAACTAATTTAACAAATGAAGCAACAACTACTGAGTTATTATCAAATTTCAATTCATAAAGTTTGAATTAAAATTCAGCAGAATTGTAGTAATAAAGTAAATAGTCATAAGCAAGTAGTCATATTTTGACTGAAAATAAAAGAACCAATAAAAATAAAATCTTAAGAGACAACTTTAAGAGTCACCAAATATAAAATACTACTAAAAACACGAGAGAATAATTAAGAATGAATCACAGCATAAGTCGTATTGAGCCCTCTCCGATTCTGTAAAACAGTACAACTCCAATAACAAACAACGATTTGGTTGGAATGAGTTTTTTAAATATTTAAGATAACACAACCAGTTTACAAGAGAATTCGTAATCGATAAAAAATTAATTGAATAATTAAAGCAGCGAAATATTAAAAACAAATCCTTCACAGTCTATTTTAAATTAAAGTCAGAATGAAAAGAAAAGAGTGAGATCAAAGACTCTTCATGATGCAGAAATACTCTTAAATAGAATTAAAAAAATGACTGCAAATAACCATGAGCTCTAAGAATAAATAGAAGACTAAATAAATAGTTTCAGTTTTAACAAAGTAAAGCAACGTCAAATCCAAATCCTCAAAACATTCAAAGACTAAAAAGTGCCTGACATTGTCAAAAAGAGGCTGCATCACGACTTCATCAACATTCTATCAATGTGTTAGAGCTGAGTTGAATGATATTTTAATTTTATCTGCAATTAAAAACATTTAAAAAAGATAGATCATTTATTTTAATAAGAATTTTACAAGTAATTTTAATTCAAAATGTTTAAAGAAAAAATAAATTGACATAAATCTATTTCTTACCTGAATTAGAACTTAAATAAATTGTAATAATTGTCTTAAATTTCTTAATCTCTACATAACAAAAAACCTCTTTCAATACAACAATAACATCAAATCTATTTGTTCATAAATAAATAAATTTAGTATTTAAAACTTTCAAAGCACAAAACTATTTTATTTTATAATCCAACTTAACGAGAAGCTTAAATTAAACTCATAGTTACATTAAATAAAATATTCAAATAAATATTTTATTTTATTGTATTTAATAAATTTCTTGTATTATAAATTGAATTTAAAAATAAATTTTTCTACTTAATTAAGGAGATTAATTGAAAATATTAACATTTCTAATCATATTTTTATTTTAATAATTGTTTTAGGTAGAAATAATTTATGAATCATTTAAAAATATATCAATTAATTTTACAGTGAATTTGAATTATTTTATAACCAAATGGTTTTAAATGTTGAATAATAACTAACGATTACAATAATACCATTCAAATAAACCTACTTTTAAATAATAATAAATATTAATATATATGTATGATTAATGTTTTTTTTTGTTTGTTTTTTGAAATGATAGTCAGCTTTTTGTTCATTCTATCAATAAATTAATATATTGATTTGACTTGTATGTTTTTTTTGTTAGTTTAGTTATTTATTTATTTATTGTTTAGCATTAAAATTAAATAACTAAGATAAAAAACAAATTGACGTTCATAATTGTTAATTAAAAATTTGATAATATTTATCTTTAAACAATAATTTTTATAAGTAACACAATAAATAGCCATTAAGCAAAATATAAAGTTTTAGTAATATTTATTAACTATTTAACACTCTTAGTGAATGGGAGAAGGCTGTGAAATTACAGATTTACAGGGATATTTAGTCTAAGTTTCATTAGCAGTTATTTGCTTCTTGATTTTGATATGTAATTCAATAATTGCATAAAAATGAAAAATGATGCAAAAATATTTTTTGAATATTTAATTGATAGATAAAAGACATAAAGAGAGACCTAAAAGACTATGGAAAATTTGGACTTTGGTAATATTAATTTGTCATATAAATTAGTTTAGACATTTAAATGCTAAAAAAATGCTAGGATAACTCAAAATAGGGTGTTTCTGCATTAGTGGCGCATATGTTGAATGTATTACTTGCTGTAACATTAAGTGGAGAATCTGATTTAGATGCATGCAATTGGTATAATATCAAATTTTAAAGCATATTTAAATTGAATACTTATTACTTTTTATGTTAATGTAGGTACTTTGTTACTGTTTTGTTTGACACAACACTTGGAGTTTTTATTTGCTTTATAATCCTATCAATATTTGAGAAATTGTTTGATAGGTATCATTTAGTGGTAAGCAACAACTATCTATGATTTATTATTTAAAATAGAAAACTTCAGATTTATTAATATTTGTTAAACATTTTTAAAGATAAATATTCCTAAAATTTGTTTTTGCTTTCCTTAAAGAAACATTAAAATTTTGATAATTAATTAGGTTTCTCTTTACTTTACTTGAAAGTTGTATTTAAAACTTATAAATATTATTTGAATATACCAACAGTAAATATTTTAATAGTAAAAATAACATAAATTATGTAGAAATGTCTTAAACAGCTTTATTAAAATTGATATTCTATTATTTATTTATAAGCAAAAAATGAACAATTTGGATAAAATTTTACAAATTTTGATATAAATATGATTTAATTATAGGAATTCAAAATACACTTTAAAAATAATTATTTATAAATAAATAAATAGAAATTCAAGACAGGAAATTACTTCAAAGTGATCATACCAGATAATGGAAGTGGTTAGAAAACTAAAAAAAAGAGTAGAGAGGATGAAAGCAATATACATTTGTTAAAGCCAATAGTAAAAATATCATATTGTGTTTGGCTTTCTTAACTCATAATTTGGAATCTTATTGTTGTTATTTCTAAATTTTTTTTATATGGACTTTAATCTGGAATCTCACCATATCTTTAGCCTATTATCAGCTGGATGTTTAGTTTGTAAATAGATTTACAATTTCAATTAAAAAAACTAATTTAAATGTCTTAAAAATGATAATATAGCTTAGAATCATTTGTTAAATTGAAGCTCATTATAGTTATGGTAATAGTTCCAGCTATTTTGAATGCAATACAAGTAAATATTTTAGTTAATTAAATAACTATTAATGTGATATTTATTTTATTAAAAAAGTTTTGGATTTAAGACAATTTTTTGAAAAAGAACGATTTCAATTCCATGGAAAAAGAATATGTGGCTTGCCAAATTTATGAAAATGAAGAGTCGTAAGATGATACAATAAGAAGAACTTAAAATGATTTGTAAATGGCCCCAACTCAAACAAAGCCATCATCAAGTTCACCTGGTTAATTTAATTATGAGCAAAAAGAGTGATTGATCATATCCAATTAATAATAAATAAATAAATTTGAGCAATCTTTAACTAAATATTTACATCATAAAAAATAATTAAAATATTACTAATAATTAATTGAAATACTTAATATTATATTTCCATTTGTATTTATTTTTATATAATAACTGTCTTATTCCTACTATAAAAATTATTATTTAACTTCATTCAAAGATTTATTTTTTATTAAAATTAATACAAAAATAAATATCAAGATAATTATATTTCGATTAGTATAGTTAATATTGTTAACCCTGAAATTAAATTATCACCAACTAACTCAGTAGGTATAAATTGTTATATTTCATTTCATTTTTATTATTTTTAGCTAATTTTACTCATCCTATATTTAATAGTTTTATCATTCTGTTTTATCAAATTAGCAAATTTTTTAATATATTTAATTGATTGATTGATAGATAAATAGATGCCTTTTCTTAAATTTTGAAAAAAAAATTTTTTATTAATGATGTAAAAAAATTATTTATTTTTGAAATTATAATAAATTAAAATATTAATTATAATTCTATTATAAAATATAAAAACAGATTTTTGAATAAATAATTAAAAAATCTATTTCATAATAAGTTAATTCCAAAAGACGGAATTTTTGAATGGCATCTTGCTAAATATCTATCTATATATCTATTTATTAGGTTAAATTAATTATTGTATTACAAAATATTATAAAATAAATAAACATATTATGTATATTCATTATATAATTCAAATATTTTTATATTTTATTCATCCTTTCTTCAACACTTTTTTATCTTCATATAAAATATATTTTAAAGACAACTAATCTTTTTAATTTAAGATATTTTATTTCTTCTTCAAGTTACTATAATTGGTTTATTTTGTTTTTACTTTTAATATAAATTTTTTTTAATTACTAAAAAATTAAAAATATTAAAATTTTTTAATTTATGTTTATATTTTAAATCAATAAATAAATAAAAACAATAGTAGAAGAATAAAAAAAGAAGTGAAATAAATATATAAATAAATTTAATAAAAAGCTGATAAATAAATTAAAATTTTATAATTTTTTAATTATTTTATATTAAAAAATATCACTAACGAAAAAATGGTTTTTTACCGAAGATAAAGTGTAAAATATGAGAGATTAGTGCACTTTCTAAAATTAGAACTTAAGCCTGATGCACCAATTACACCAATTTCATTCAAACTTTTTAAATATTGAAAAAAAAAATTTTAGCTAATTAGTGAGTTAGAAGACAATATGAAGAAAAAATATCAAGTTATAATAAATTAAATAATTTATAATAAAAGCAAAAGTTCAAAATTAATTAAAAACTTAATTAAATAAACTAACAAAGTGAAAAAAAGCAGAATAATAAGAAAAAGAAAACTAAATCAAATAAAAAGCTCATAAATAAATAAATTAAAAGAGTTATATTTCTTTAAATTTATTTTTATATTCAAAAGTATCACTATCCATAACAAATAAAATGTTTTTACTCAAGATTAAGTATCAAATTTGAGAGATTAGTGCACTTTGCTAAAGAAGAACCAAAGCCTGATTCGCATTCATCACCAATATAATTTCCACTTTTTAAATATTTAAGAAAAAAATATATTTAATTAATTAATTAGTGAGAAGGAAAAAATGAAGAAAAAATATGAAATAATAAGAAATTAATTGAAAAATAAATAATAAAATCAAAATTTCAAAATCAAAACATTTGTTAAGTTAACAAAGGGAAAAAAATGCACACAAGCAGAATGATACAGAAATAAAAAGAAATCAAATAAAAGCTAATTAATAAAGTTAAAAAGTAAGTTGTGCTGTTTTAAATATATTATAATATTAAAAAATATTACAATCCAAAATAAATAAATAAACTGTTTTTACCTAAGATCAAGTGTCAAATTTGAGAGATTAGTGCAATTTGCTAAACTAAAACATATGTCTGATGCACCTTAATAATGAATTTAATTTTTGCTTTTTAATTAAACATTTAAGAAAATAATATTATTACTTATTTATATTGAAGGAAAAAATGAAGAAATAATATGAAATTATAAGAACTGAATTAACAAAAAAGTTCAAGATAAAAAAATAAATTTAACTTAGAAAAAAAAAAAAAGAATAAATAATAAATAGAAAAATAAATGAAATAAAAAGTTGATAAATAAATAAATTAAAGGAGTTATATTGCTTTAAATTCGTTTTTAAAATAAATAATCACACAATCCAAAATAATACAACTGTCTTTACCAAAGATTAAGCTTTAAATTTGAGAGATTAGTGCACTTTGCTAAAGCAGAACTAAAGCCTGACGTACATTCATCACCAATATAATTTCCACTTTTTAAATATTGAAGAAAAGAATAAAATTAACTAGTAAGTTAGAAGGAAAATGAAGAAAAAATATGAAATAATAACAAATGAATTAATTTATTAATAAAATAAAATTTGTTTAGTTAATAAAAGAAAGAAAAAAAACACAAGCAGAAGTAACAGAGAAAGAAAAATAAATCAAATTAATAAAAAGGTGATGTTGTTTTAAAAAATTATAATATTAAAAAATATTACAATCCAAAAATAAATAAACTGTTTTTACCCAAGATCAAGTGCCAAATTTGAGAGATTAGTGCAATTTGCTAAATTAGTAAATAGGCCTGATGCACCTAGATCGTGAATTTAATTTTTGCTTTTTAGAGAATTTACAATCGGAGCATTTTTAGATCAGTACAGGTAAAAAACCTCTCTGCCACACTATTTTTTCGCCTTCCAAGTATTTTCCTTGGAGGGCTACTTTTTTAGACTTTTTTAAAAACAATTTTTAACAAATTTTTAATAAAATCGGCTCCAGCCGAAAAAAAAAAAAAATTAAATTAGGACACTGGTTATATTGCTTTAAATTCTTTTTTATATTAAAAAATATCATAATTCAAAATAAATTAGTGTTTTTACTCAAGATTAAGTGTCAAGTTTGAGAGATTAGTGCATTTTGATAGAACAAAAAAAAAGCTTGATGCACATTCATCACCAATATAATTTCCACTTTTTAAATATTGAAGAAAAGAGTAAAATTAATTCATTAGTAAGAAGGAAAAATGAAGAAAAAATATGAAATAATAAGAAATGAATTTATTTATAAATAATAAAATCAAAAGTTCAAAATCAAAAAATTTGTTAAGTTAACAAAAGGGAAAAAAAATACAAGAAGAATGAAACAGATTATTAATAAATAATTAAATAGACCGTTTTTACCCAAGATCAAGTGTCAAATTTGAGAGATTAGTGCACTTTTCTAAGCTAGGACATATGCTTGATGCACCTAGATCATGAATTTCATTATTGCTTTTTAAATATTGAAGAAAAGAATTTTATTAATTATTTTTTTTGAAGGAAAAAATAAATAAAGAAAATGGATGAAATAATAAAAACTAAATTAACTCATAATAAAAATAAATTTAAACAATAAAAGGTGTTATATTGCTTTAAATTTATTTTATTTATTAATAATTATCACAATCCAAATCAAATAAACTGTTTTTACATAAGACGAAGGGTCAAATTTGTGAGATTAGTGCACTTTTCTAAAGCAGGACCTAAGCATAATATACCTTCATCCCCAATTTAATTTCCACTTTTTAAATATTGAAGAAAATATATAATAAATTATTTATTTTGAAGGAAAAAACAAAAAAATAATATGAAATAAGAAGAAATGAATATATTTAATAATAATAAAAGTAAAAGTTTAAAATGCAAAAATGTTTTAAATTAAAAAAAAACATACAAGTAGAATAAAAAAGGAAAAAAAATAAATCAATAAATAAAATAAAAATCAGAAAAATAAATTTTATGAGTTTTATTGTTTTTAATTTATTTATGTATTAAAAAATACCCCAATAGAAAGCAAATTAACTGTTTTTACCTAAGATCAAGTTTCAAAATTGAGAGATTAGTACACTTTGCTATAGCAGAACTTAAGCCTGACGAACCTTCGTAGCCAATTTTAATATTCCTTTTTTAAATATTGAAGAAAATAATACTTAAAATTAGTTATTTAGAAGGAAAAACTGAATAAAATTATGAAATAATGAAAAAAATGGTAAATTATAAAGAAAGAAAAATATCAAAAGCATAAAAAAATTAAAAAAAATCAAATAAAAAGCTGATAATTCGATTAAAAGAGTTATTTGTAATATTTAAAATTCATTTTAATATTAAAAATATCAAAATTTCCAAGACATATAAATTGTTTTACTGAAGACCAAGTGTCAAATTTGAGATGCTATTGCAATTTGCTAAACCATAACCTAAGCCTAATACACCTTCATCGCCAATTTAATTCGAGCTTTTAAATATTGAAGAAAAGAATATAATTAATTGCTTAGTTAGTTAGTTAATTAGTAAAAAAAAATGAAGTAAAAATATGAAATAATAAGAAATTAATTATTAATAATAAAAGCAACAGTTTAAAATAATTTTATTTAACAGACAAAAAAATAAAAGCAAAATAAAATAAAAATTAATAAATAAATAAATTAAAAGAGTAAGCTATATTGCTTTAAATTTATTTTTATATTAAAAAATATTGCAATCTAAAATAAATATACTATTTTTACCCAAGATTAAGTGTCAAATTTGAGAGATTAGTACACTTTCCTAAATTAAAGCCTAAGCCTGAAGCACCTATTGCACAAATTTTATTGAAACTTTTTAAATATAGAAGAAAATAATAGTTATTTAGAAGGTAAAAATTTAAAGTAATAAGAAATGAGTAAATTGATGATAAAAGAATAAGTTTACCATGTACAAGTTAGATAAATTAGCATATAGATTAATAAATAAAAAAGAAAAATAAACCAAATAAAAAGCTTATAAAAAAATTAAAAGAAATAATTACTTTCTTTTAAATTCATTTTTACATTAAAAAATATCGCAATCAAATACAAATAAAGTTTTTTTACCCAAGAATAAGTGTCAAATTTGAGAGATTAGTGCACTTTACTAAACCAGAACCTAATCCTGTAACACTTTCATCACCAATTTAATTCTACCTTTTTAAATATTGAATAAAAAATATAATTAATTAGTTAGTTAGTTGTAAAAAAAATAAAAGAAAAATGAGAAAGAAAAAATAAATCAAATAATAAGCTGATAAATAAATTAAATAAATGAGTGATATTATTTTAAATTCACTTTTATTTAAAAAATATCATAATTCAAAACAAACAAATAAACTGTTTTTACTCAAGAAGAAGTGTCAAATTTGAGAGATTAGTGTACTTTGCTAAAGCAGACCCTAAGCCTGATACACCTTCGTCGCCAACACCAATTTCATTGTACCTTTTTAAATATTGAAGAAAAGAGTATGATTAATTAGTTATTTATAAGAAAAAATAAGAAATAAAATTATAAATTATTAAAGTAAAAGTTTTAAATTATTAAATAGGTATAATTAACAAACAAACAAAAAATACAAGCAGAATAAAAAAGAAAAATAAATAATTTAAAAAGCTGACAAAAAAATAAAAAAAGTAAGCTATTTTGTTTTAAATTTATTTTTATTTTAAAAAATATAGCAATCCAAAACAAATAAATTGATTTTACTGAAGATCAAGCTTTAAATTTGAGAGATTAGAGCATTTTGCTAAATCAGAAATTAAACCTGATGCACATTTATCACCAATATAATTATCACTTATTAATAATTGAAGAAAAAAATATAATTAATTCGTTAGTAAGTTAGTTAGTTGTTTATAAGTAAAAAATAAGAAATAATAAGAAATGAATTAATTTAAAATAAATAAAAGCAAAATTTCATGAAAGATAAATCAAATAAAAAGCTAATAAATAAATTAAAAAATTAAGTTGTTTTAAATATATTTTTATTTTATTAAATATTATAATCCTAAATAAATAAACAGTTTTTACTTTAGACAAAGTGTCAAATTTGAGAGATTATTGTTCTTTCCTAAGCCAGAACCTAAGAATGATACACCTGCTTCTCCAATTTAATTATATCTTTTTAAATATAAAAGTAATATATATACTTATTAGTAAGTTAAAAGGAAAAATAAATAAAAAATACGAAATAAAAAGTAAAAAATTAATTAATTAATTATAAAAGGATTATTTCAAAATGAAAAAATAAGTTAAATTAACAAAGAAAATAAAAAAATACAAGCAGGATATAACAGAAAAAGAAAATAAATCAAATCAAAAGTTAATAATTAATGAAAAGAATTATAAATTTTTATATTTATTTTTATATGAAAAAATATCACAGTCCAAAATAAATAAACATTTTTACCGAAGATCAAGTGTTAAATTTGAGAGATTAGTGCATTTTCCTAAAATGGAACCTATGGTTGATGCCCCATTGTCGGTAATTTAATTGTACCTGTTTAAATATTGAAGAAAATAATATAATTAATTTGTTATTTAGATGGAAAAAATGAAGAAAAAAGATTAAATAATAAGAAATGAATTAATTAATGATTAGAAAATGATTGAAATGATAAAATTGGTTAAATTAACTTAGAAAAAAATATAAAATGAAATATAAATCAAATTAAAATAGAATAAATAAATAAACGAAAAGAGTTATGCATGTTGTTTTAAATTTATTATTATCTAAAAAAAATCACAATAAAAAACAAGTAAACTGTTTTTACATAAGATAAAGTGCCAAATTTGAGAGATGAGTGCACTTTACTAAAGCAGAACCTAAGTCTGATGCATCTTCATCTCCAATTTAATTTCCCCTATTTAAATATTGAAGAAAAAAAATATTAGTAATTAGTTAGTTAGAACGAAAAAGTGAAGAAAAAAATGAAACAATAAGAAATTAATTAATTATAAAAGTAAAAGTTGGAAATGAAAATCAAGTTAAAATATTTAAGTAAATAAAATAAAAATGAATGAATATAGATGAGAATTTTTATTAGAAGAAAATATTATAAATAGATTGAAAATTAAATATAAAAAAAGCAGTACCGTCTAACCTGTAAGTTAAGTTAAAAAAAAATTAATTTTTTGGGAAAAACTCACACTTTTTTCACACTTAACTTCAAAAAACAAACTTAATTAAAAATTAACTTAACATAGAGGTTAGACGGTAATAATAAAAAATATTAATTAATTAATTAATTAATTAAAAATACATCAGATCAAAATGGAGAACCTAATAAGATTAAAGTGAAGAGTTTAAAAACTTTTATGTTGATTAAAATAAATTTAAAAAAAAATAATATTTAAAATAGATAATTACATCATTTATATTATTGAAATATTTTTTTTATAACATCATTTTTTATTTATTTATTTTAATTTCAAAAATATTGATCAATAATATATGGAAGGAAATTGAATTAATTATAACTAATTATATTAAAAAATTAATTTACTTATATTTCAAATTAATTTAGATAAAAAAGACAAGTAAATTATAATGATTATCAAAAATAAATTTATAAATTTGCTAAAAGGAAGAAATATCTGAAAAAAAGTTAATTTTGAAATTGCTAATCCTGATTAGGCTAATGCATCATATTTAGAAAGATGTTTTTTAGAAAATGACTTTAAATAGATAACAAGACAGAAAAAGCTTTAAATGAGTGAGGAAAAAACTTTTGATGAGAATGGTGTAAGTTTTAACCAGAGATGTTGTTGAATATTTAGTCATTTGAATCATGAATATCATTGAATAATTTATAATTTGAATAGGATATTTTTATTAAATTTTTATTTATTTGTTAGAAATTGTATAATAATTTTAAATTAATTTCAAGTAATTTCTTAAATTCTTTCTTTCTTTCTTTTGGAATTCGCCTTTTGATTAAAATATAATGAATAATAAATAAATCTACCTATTTATAAGTTTAAATTATTCTATTACAAAATATATGTTATAAAATAAAGATATATATATTTTATTATTAAAGAATTTTTATATTTATTTATCTATCTTTTTTTAACCACTTGCTTATCACAATCAGAAATTTATTTTAAAGAAAACTAATCTTTTTAATTGAAGACACTTGCTTTGAACTTTCAATTACTATGATTCATTTATTTTGTTTTTACTATTAATATAAATGAGTATAAATTACTCAAAAAAGTTAAAATAATAAAATTTTTTAATTTAAATTTATATTTTAAATCAATAAATAAATAAAAATAGCATTAAAAAAATAGAAAAAGAAAAATAAAAATAAATCAATAAAAAAAATTCTGATTAATAAATAAATGAAAAAAGTTAGTTAAATAGTATTAAATTTTTTTCTATATTAAAAAATATCACTGTCTAAATCAAATAAATTGTTTTTACCGAAGATAAAGTGTTATATTTTGGAGTTTAGTGCACCTTCCTAAACTAGAACTTAAGCTTGATGCACCAGTTATACCAATTTCATTCCAACTTTTTAAATATTAAGGAAAAGAAATTATAATTAACTAGCTAAAAGGTAAAAATGAAGAATAAATATGAAATGATAAGAAATTAAATAATTAATAATACAATCAAAAGTTAAAAATGAAAAAATAAATAAATGAATAATTTAAATTAACAAACAAAAAATAAAAAAACAGAATAAAAAACAAAAATAAATAAATAAAAAAATATCACAATCCAAAGCAAATAAAGTGTTTTTACTCAAGATTAAGAGTCAAATCTTAGAGATTAGTGCACTTTGATAAAGCAAAACCAATGCCTTATATACCTTCATCGCCAATATAATTTCCACTTTTTGAATATTGAAGAAAAGGAGATAATTTATTAGTTAGTTAGAAGAAAAAAATGAACAAAAAAATGAAAGAATAAATAAGTTAAAATAAAAAAGAAACAAACAAAAACATAAGCAGAATGAAACAGAAAAAGAAAAATAAACCAAATAAAAAGCAAATAAATAAATTAAAAGAGTAGAGTTATGGTGTTTTAAATATATTTTTACATTAAAAAATATTGTAATCCAAAATAAATAAACTGCTTTTACCTAAGAGAAAGTGTCAAATTTGAGAGATTAGTGCACTCTCCTAAACTGGAACATATGCCTGAAGCACCTAGATCACTAATTTAATTTCCACTTTTTAAATATTAAATAAAAGAATATTATTAACTATTTATTTAATTTGAAGAAAAAAAAGAAGAAATAGCATGAAATAAATAGAACTAAATTAACTAATAATAAAAGCAAAAGTTCAAGATAAAAAATTAGTTAATCAAAAAAAGAAAGAAAGAAAAAAAAAAACAGAATAAAGAATAAGAAAATTAAATCAAATAAAAAGTTGATAAATAAATTAAATGAATTTTATTGTTTTAATTTCATTTTTATATTAAAAAATATCATAATCCAAAATAAATATATAAATTGCTTTTACACAAAATCAAGTGTCAAATATTAGAGATTAGTGCACTTTCCTAAATTAAAACCTAACCCTGACGCACCTTCATCACCAATTTAATTTCCCCTTTTTAAAAATTGAAGAAAATAATATAATCAATTATTTATTTTGGAGGAAAAAACTAAGAACAGTCTGAAATAATAAGAAATGAGGTAATCAATCAATAAAAAAAGCAAAAGTTCAAAATGAAAAAATATTTTAAATTAAAAAAGAAAGAAAAATTCAAGCAGAATCAAAAATAATCAAATAAAAAGTTGATTAATAAATTTAATGAGTTTTATTTTTTTTTTTAAATTGATTTTTATACTTAAAATATCACAATCAGAAACACATAATCTATTTTTACATAAGATAAAGTGTCAAATTTGAGAGATTAGTGCACTTTGCTACAGCAGAACCTAAGCCAGATGAACCTTCTTAGCCAATTTTACTATACCTTTTTAAATATTGAAGAAAAAAATAAAATAATAATTTAATTAGAAGGAAAAAGTGATGAAAAATTTCAAATAATTAGAAATTAATTATTAGAGTAAATGCTTGAAATGAAAA